AAAGAGTGACTAATCTATCAGTGACAATGTTGCACTCATCTGCCTGAGCGGCACTTTGTCAGCAATGTGCACCGCGACCTCCTCCACAGTCTGCTCTATAGGTTCAACTTCTTTGCTTGTTATTTTTCAATGCAAAATATCACCCAGCCCTGCTCGGCCCCTTGGGGTGCGCCACACGTTCTTAAATTGCAAAGTGAATGAGCAAGTCTGACAGGGAATGTTGTCAGAGTCAGCAGAAAGGTAAAATCCTTTCTCACAAAAACAACTTTTTATTTCTGCATTTATTAATATGTAACAAAGTACCTGAATCAATATTTCATATTTCTGTAATCCACATATATATATATATATATATATATATATTGTGTGATAGTAGATAGAAGATTAATTTCTGTATTGTCATTTAAAAATATTGCATTTCCTCTTAGTCACACATCTTCATATTCAATGGAGTAGGACAAAAGAGACTTCATGTCTTTTGTCTACAATTACCCTAGAAATGGTGATAACAGCTCCTTGAAGCGAAAATCCTTATAGAGAATGTAGGCTTCCCTGTGTTTTTCAGTGCATACTATCCAATAATTTAGTACAATATTAAATCTGATATTTAAAAGATTCAGTTTTGCACCTTGGAGGCTAGAGGGGGTATTGCAAGGAAGGTATTCTATGTTAATATGAAACATGGTTTGATCATTTTACTTGGAGCATCCCTCTGGCTTTGGTACCGTACGTGTAAACTAGACAAATGCTAGTCAGCATTTTTGAGAGTTTTCTTTGAACTTGCAAAATGTGTTGAGTTAATGGCTTCACCTTGATTTCAAACCACATGAATTGTTGTTCCACATTGCACCTGATAAGAATGATTCTCTACACTGAATTATCTTGCACCTCTCATTGACTTTACTCAGGATCCGCTTGGCCTAATCTGCACCACCAAGAAGACCTTTTTCTAAATGCATTACTTTCCTTTAGATAAACAAACCTAAAGAATTGCCCTCGATGTAATGGATGCACTCGACATGCAGCTGCAAAAGCAAAGGACAGGAACACAAGACATTAAAAACAATAATTGAGGTTTTTGCATCCACTTGTCATTTATAGTGTTATTAACGGGAGGATCCTGAGATTGTAAAATACCCACTTTTCTCCACTGGACTGCGCTATTTCATTTCGCCAAAACCTTTACAGTAATTAGCAACACACCGGTTTCATTATGAACTTTGGAAATGACTTTGCAACGTTACTAAATGTCAGTCAGTGAGTAAACTTCTGTTTTTTTTCTGTTTCCACTTTGACAAGAGCCTCTTCACACCAGCCATCACATGGAAAGAGGAAGAGGGTGTATTAAACACGAATTCATCTCTAAGCAACTGTCGTCCCCCACCCTTGACGTTATATCCTCTTTTTGGCCCAATGCTATTATTTTAGGTGACACAGCGCTTCCTTGATTCATATTTGGGCCGACGAGGAATCGTCGCCGAAATCCAAATGCATCAAAGATCAGTGAAACAGAACATCCCCTCCGGCGTACTATCCCGAAAGAGTTTGAGAAAATAAGTCATGGAATCGTTTAACGTTCAATTCAAGTAGCAACACAAAAAAGAAGTGTCAGCACTTCCTCATTTGTGATCTTCACTCTTATGACGTCTGCTCGAAGCTGTGGAGGTGTTGCATGAGCACAGTTCCTCTAAATGGCTGCAAACTATTTTTACACAACTATATAAGGGAAGTGTAATCCTGAGTACAGACTCAGTAGCACAAGTGTTTTGGGTCATGGTGGACTCTCCTTTAACATTCAGCATTTATCCAAACATCGAAAATCAACAGACTGCCAGATTATAGACACAAATAATCAAATGGAGTGAAGACACAAGAGAGATGGTCATGTTTTAATTACCCACACACACACATTGCAGTCTAATATGAAGTATTTTTAGTTGCTGGTACCTTGTCACCGCTGCTGGTAAGACCGTGTGGCCTCATAACGATTGGGTTTAATAATAAGCTTAATTTCCCTTTCAAAGCCAGACAGACAGGCGTAAAATCCAAGCTAAAGGAATGAAACATATTAATCTATAAACATATGAATACTGATCGGATGAACAATCCAATTAAATTTAAAATACACTTTAAATATACACAAATGTCTTTATCACAGACAAAGACTCACCAGAGGATGTCAGTCAGCACAAAAAGTGGGATCAGGTCAGGAACTGACTTCATGCGAGACATGAAAATGATCATAACATTATAACAATCAACGACCCAAAGTACTAATATATGCTGAGTTGCTAAAACCGAGGTTAGAACTTAAGCAATTTCTTTGTGAAACATTGTTTAATTTTTGACAGCTACATAGCCATGGACCTTCTGTCTTTGGGCCCCTTTTAAAAAGAGAGGAAGCAGAAGAGAAATTAAATTTGCACATTTTGGGGGTTTACAGACTTTTTAGTTTCCAAAAGTTACACAGGCACCAGGAAGAAAGACAAACGTTTGAAATTTTATATTTATTTACTATTTATTTATACTTGTATATCCAAAGCACTCAATGGTGTACTTGCAGCATCTAACAGCTCTGCAAACACCCTCATGCGGTTCATATTTTAAAAGGCCAGCACGTTGCCCCAAACCATCCATCCATCCATTTTCAAACCGCTTATCCTGCACACAGGGTCGCGGGGGGGCTGGAGTCCATCCCAGCCAACTTCGGGCAATAGACAGGGTACATCCTGGATTGGTCGCCAGCCAATCACAGGGCTACACAGAGACACACAACCATTCACACATCTACAGGCAAAGTCCCCCAATTAACCTGATCCTGACCCAGAGCATGTCTTTGGACTGTGGGAGGAAGCCGGAGAACCCAGAGAGAACCCACGCAGACACGGGGAGAACATGCAGACTCCACACAGAAAGGCCACTGGACAGAATCGAACCCAGGACCTTCTTGCTGTGAGGCAACAGTGCTAACCACCACGCCACCGTGCCGCCTTCGTTGCCCCAAACCGCTAAAGACCATTTTGTTGAGGGGGTTTTTCAGGAAGTTGTTGAGACAGCTGGACCACACGGAGGTCCCTCCTCATTGTTTGACAATTCAGAAACAAAAAGAAAACAAGCAGAGCCGACACAAAACTCCCAGAACTCTATATGCACACTGTCTTGGTACGGACAGGAAGAAGGTTGTGAGATAACAGGATAAGCGCTGGCCGCTTGTCACCATCATTATGGCTGGAAATCGTTTTTTTTAAAATGAAACCGTTGCAAGACATCATAGTTAAACACGCTAGTTGAAAGATTCATCAAGTGCACAGTGCACGACGATAAAGTGTGTGTGTGTGTGTGTGTGTGTGTGTGTGTGTGTGTGGTATTCACGTCAAGAGTCATTTCTTACACGGCATGTGGCTGTGGCATTGACACGACACAGGGTTCAACGCAAATACCGCATGATGAGAGAGTGAGTCGTGAGCTCAAGTTTCACTTTTTCTTTTTCTTGTTTGGAAACGTAAGTAAAGTAATTTAGACTTACAGTGTATTTCAAGTTGTAGGCACCCTTTTAAAATCTGTTTTTTTATTATTTAAGTGATTTTTAAGTATTTTGTTGTCTTTTTTACTCCTAGTGAAGACTCAACCATAGTGCTATGATGCAACTACTCAGAGCACAGCAAAGTACAAGTACTTTATCAAAAGTATACAACAAAGTATGCAACAGTTATATGTTACGTTATATGATGTGTGCATTATTAAATACTTTTTAAATGTGGTTTAATTGAACCACATTTAAAGTTTAAAGTTCCTACAGATAGGGAGGGCACCAGAAGCCCCCAGTGGAACAAGTCGTTGTAAAAACAGATTTACATTTAGAGCACATACACTATGGAGCTTTTTATAGGCAGGAAGGGTTTCTAGGTCACGCTAATGTCAGAACATTTCCAGGCCCAACTGTGAGCATGCTGTTACACAGCTGTGCGCTGCCCGTCCCTGAAGGCCTGCGGTCTTTCACCTTCATTTTCTTAGGCCCACAAAGCCCATCTCATTGTTTAAGAGTGTGAAATAATGCAATAATCCCGCCTGTCAGCAATTCTCCAGACAAGTGTCCCCAGACCTGAAAAAGACCTCGCCGTTTTGACCTGGAGACAAGAAAAGTGGTTGAAAATTCAACAGTCTGTTTCGTCCTATTCGCTTGTTTTTATGAAAGCTTACAGCATTTCACACTCAAGCCAGTATGGCACATCCTGTGTAAGTTAAGTTGTGTGCAGCAGAAGTGTGGTCTTGTGACGCAGATGTCTAAAGATGTGTGAAAAGGAACAGTGTGTCCCTTCATGCAGGTTTCTCAGATCTCTATTTCCTCTCACTGGCGGGACTTTCATTTTACACACAACTTTCTAAAACTTGTGATGAAGATTGTATTTTTAACGATGTTAACCTGTGTCCTAAATTTGCTGTTTTTCCCTTTTATTGAAAATAAGTGCAGTATTTCCGCCGTCGGGGAGTGGGGAATTACATATACACATATAAATTCAATGTTCTTTGTTCGGATCTTTCCAAATGAAGCGCAACATTGTTACCATTGTTACATTGTGTAGAACGGAGCCACTCAAAGGCAAAAGCTGTAAATGTGTCATCGCCATAGCTGGCGGGCCGGGTGCTAAAGCTCATGGCAGCTTATTCCCACCAGCTGGACAATGACCAGTCGCATAAACTCCTCTTGACCCCCTTTCGCTCGCATAAACTCTGAGTCCGGCAGAGGGGAAAGATACAAAGACACCAGCAAAGGGCAGAGGGAGAGAAAGAGAGCAAAAATCACCGTTAAGTAACACTTTAATGTCATAAAAGTAGAGTGGGGAGAGCTGGCATTGCCATTTCCTCTCAACATGTGTCGCAGATGTGATTCAGAATAAGAAAAACAGAGAGAGAGAGAAAGAGAGAGAGAGAGAGAGAGTGTGTGAGAGAGAAACTCCTCCCAAGAAAAACTAGTCATCTCAGCATGTCACCTCATTAGTGAGAGCAGACGATTCAAACAAAAGAAAGAGACAAGAGGAGAGGTCATCGTATGAGAAGAGAGAGAGATTTCACCTTTTTTTTACATATTTTCTATACGCTGGTGTCGGCAAATACTATTCTGACTTTCCTCCCTCCCTTCAACTAGTGGATTAGTGGATACTCTTTTTTTTGCCTTCTCCAGACTTTATACTATAGAAACAACTGGGGCAACTTCTGAAATAATGAGAAAAGAGGAAGTAACTGTGTGATCTAAATGTTGAACTATCGGGTTGTTTTCCCAGAGTTTTGGTTGTTCATCTCTTTCCTTTGACATATCTGGACGGCGTTTCCCACCATGGCGAAGAGGTGGAACCTCATGATACTGGGTGAGTCATCTGTCGTCCATTTGTACCGCAGTTTGGATGGAAAATTTAAAGTTTTAAAGAGGGAAACTTACTGACTGGTTGCCGTCAATCCTGTGTGTGTGTGTGTGTGTGTGTGTGTGTGTGTGTGTGTGTGTGTGTGTGTGTGTGTGTGTGTGTGTGTGTGTGTGTTCTTTCAGAACAACAGAAAAGAAAACGTTATTGATCGTATAATAAAAATCAAGTCACATTGAATAGAGCAGAAAGAAAAGAAATCTAAAATAATCACATGGTCATGTCAAAAAAACCAAATCAGTATATGACTTGACAAATGGAAATTTAAAATCCTTATGTTTATTTTACATGTGCTTCACAACTTTCCACTGGGATCAAAGTCTCCCTGGCAAAAATGAGTGAGAAACCCAAACTGCCACAGTTCTTTAATGCGAGCCTTTCTGCAGCACAAAGAGCCCGAATGAATGACAGCCACGATCTGGGTCCAGTTGCACAGAGGACCTCTGTTCTTCTGCTTTTAAAGTGATATTTATACCCAATGATCTCATTGCATAGCGCCCACGTAACTAACAGAGTGGGTTGCTATGAGACGAGACAACATTGAGAGATGACAACTTGTACCAACCACTGAAACACATTTTACCGTCATTTTGTTTGATTTAATCCCGGATACGAATCCAATCGTTGTGATCATCAGCTGCCCTGAGATAAACAAAATGGTTTGTCTCAAACTGGCCTGTTACTTCCTCTTTCCATATGATGAGTGCACATTTAAGCAACCACACAGGACTGACTCTTTTTTTCTGCGCTTGTGTCACGACAGCTGATGTCTCCTCGTACATAGGAGGCAGAGTTCTGCAGACACCCATGTTGAAATATGGTGCAGACGCTGTTGGAACAATCTGAGGAAATGATGGTAGAAAATCAGGGAATACACCTTTACTACGGAGCATTTTTTTCACTCTGAACATGTCTGGTGTTACTCAAGTCAGACTAGTCATCAATGCCGCTTTAGCAACACAGAAAAAGCTAAAAATGATTTATTTTTTTAAAGCGGCTAGTGTAGATTAAGCATAGTTGCCAGGGTAACAAGTGTTGCATTCATGGGGAAAAAACAACTTAAAGACTGACAGTCGCTTGTTTGCTTTTCAGTGCTGTACCTCTCCCTCATGGTGGTCCTGTCGACACACTGCCCTAATGGGCAGGTTCAATTGCCTGGGAAGGGAAAAAATTGCATTGGTATGAAAAACAAACTCTTTTACAAACAGCCCATCATAGAAAAATAGCGTTTTTCTTATCTTTGCATATAAAAGTTAGTAACTGCAAATATATATTATTTGGTTTGCTAAATGAACGTTCAGAATGAAATAACGTGCAAATTTTCTTGGAAATGTATTATTATCTAACTTGATTTGGGGTGTAATTTTTTGCATCTGTTTTTCTCATATTTGTGCTTGATTAAGATGTCGATGAATGCGCTGAAGACATAAAGCGATGTGGAAAAAATGCGACCTGTCACAACACATTCGGCAGCTTCTATTGCCAATGTGATGTTGGTTTCATATCAACATCACAGAGTTTGAATTTTTCAGCGGCAGATAATGAAGTGTGTAAAGGTAAGTCATCTTCTAAAATGAGTGAATATAAGTATAAAAGTTTCATTGCTGCAGTCGTCATCTAAGTGTAAAAGTCCTGTCCTGATCTTTTCCTTTAAGACATCAATGAGTGCCTGCAAGACAAAGACATCTGTGGACCTAATGCCAAATGTCACAACGCAATTCCACATTATTCCTGTAGTTGTCTCAATGGATTTTACTCCACGAATGGAAGCAAAAGCTTTCGCGGCAGTAAAGACATTACCTGCCAAGGTGAGATACTTATAGTAGCCTGTTAGATGACAGTGTGGCGTTATGTTATTTATGTTGGCCATAAACTCTATGCATCATTGTTCTCTCTTTATGTGATTTCCGTGAAATGACGGTTTCCATATGTAGTTTAGATATTTCTGTTTAATGAGTGGTTGTACGGTGATGATTTCCTTTTTCAGTTATTCTAAGATGTCTTCTTCTTGCTCATGTAGATATTGATGAATGTCAAAATGGGAATGTTTGCGGCCAAAATGCAACATGCGACAACACACCAGGAAGTTATCAATGTGTGTGTAACAGTGGCTTCAGACTCAAATCTGGCGGATTTAACTTCTCTGGCAGTCAGGAGCAATGTGAAGGTGAGGAATGTGATGTGATCGTGCAAAATACAACAATGAGTTTATTTAAGTTAATTTGATCCACGTGTTGTTTTATCTAACGGTGATGCACGGTGGTCTTTCAAGAAAGGTATCGCATGAAAGTGATACAGAAAGTTAACATGATTGATTTTAGTTCTGACTAAGTTGCTTTATGTTTTCTTGGCATTATATTTAATACTCTCAAGTACCATTTTGGATAAGAACTTTCAGGTGGACCAGAATATTTATTGTTACATTACAACCGTTTGAAACACACTGTTCCCTCTCCCTGATTTGTTTCCATTTTAGACATATGTAGCATTGATAAAACAATCTGCGGAAATGGAACCTGCCACCGTGGAGCCGACGGCCATTTCTGTGCATGCCACACAGGGTCCACTAACTATGGCCACAAAGGGAATCGCTGCACCGGTAAGAGCACTGCAGCACTCCACTTTTTCCAAAATCCATGACTGAACAGGTGTTTACTCTGTAAATATCTAAACGGAACATTTCATGGGCATAGCTGTCCTCACAATATGAATGTCACAGCCATCAGAAAGCACATTTAATGAGACAAAACCTCCTGTTTCCTCAGCGTTAAACTGTGATGCATTCAAAGTTTTGAATCATCTGCAGGAGGTAACGCCACACCATAAACAACTCACCATCCAACAGATATTCAATTGTATTTTGCCTCATACTTTTTGTTTTGTGTTCACCAAATTGCGTTTCTAGAAACAGGATCTCATGGTGCAGTTGGAAAAAGGTTGTCTCAACCTCACAGGAAGCAAGGATCCAAAAGAGCTGGGCGGAAAGGACATATTGGAGGTATTGCTGTACATAAATTAATTGAAATATTGTTAGATTAGGCAGAAAAGGCCTTCAGTTCCTCAGAAAAGTAGGAATTGTTACATGCTTCCATCTTTGTCACATGGAGTGAACATGTCAGCACATGCACAGCTATGCAGACTGTTTATTTTGACCTGAGGCGGAATGCAGCCTGAATGTCTGCCTCTGGCGGACTCCGTCTCCTGTTTTTCCCGGCTCATGCTTATGTTTCTCCCTCCCACCCTCCTCTCCTCCTGTGGCTGTAGCGACTGTTGTCTCTGATCGACGAGCTCTTGTCCGGCGGAGCCTTCAACGATAACAGGAAAGTCTCCACCTTTCTGAACCTGGTGGAGAACGTTCTGAAACTCGCAGCGGCTTTCATTGAGCCCCCCGGGACAACGAGATCCTCCACTCACACAGGTGCAGAGACAATCTGTGCACACAAACACATCTTTTCATGGAATGTTTTGTTTCCAAAGCTGGTAGATTTCCCTTTTTTGGAAGTTAGAAACAGTATTATCAGACATGAAATGTCAGTCGATAAAAGTGTATCTACCTTGGTTTCAGAGCTGGAGCTGCTGGTAAAGAAAGGGGCTGATTTACCCAAGGGAGCTGTGACTTTGTCATCCAAGCAAGCTAAACTGGACCTTCAGTTGGAGACTGCTGCCGGAGATTCTTCCTATTACCCTGGTAACGATCTCATCGGTGACCACTTTCATTCGAATGTAGACGATTGTGATGAATGTCCACTAAATCCGGTGTCGTCCTGCTGTGATTGTGAAAGGCTTCACAACAGTGTACCTGCTGGGCTATGCAAACCTGGAGGACTTTACCAAAGGCTTCTTTGGCAGGATGAAACCAGAAGCGAACCACCGCTTTGAGCTCAACTCCAACGTCGTGACTGTGTCCGTCAGTAACAGAAACACGAGCCACCTCGAAGTGCCGGTCAAATTGACTTTATACCACCTCAAACAGGTAGCATCCAGTTTGCCAATAAGGATCATAATCTGTCCGGTGGAAAATATGACTCATGTGACGGTCATTTTCTCTATTGTTTCACAGACAAATGAATTCGACCATACCTGTGTGTTCTGGGATGCCTCGGAGGAAGGCGGGTCATGGTCTACCCAAGGCTGCCAAGTGGTCGAGTCCAAGGCCGAATACACCGTGTGTTCCTGCAACCACCTTAGCAGCTTTGCTGTGCTCATGGCGCTCTACGACGTAGAGGTTGAAACTCTCGCTTACTCATGCGTGATGATACATAGCCAATCATGACACGTATGGCTCACGATTGAAACTTTTGTCCATTTCGGTCTTTCTTTCTCAACAGCATACGTTTGAATTGCAGCTGATTACATGGTTGGGTCTGTCCCTTTCACTCATTTGCCTGTTCATCTGCATCCTGACGTTCTCATTGATTCAATCCCTCAAAAGCCCACGAACCACCATCCACCTGCACCTCTGCATCAACCTCTTCATTGCCTTCATCATCTTCCTCGCAGGCATATCTCGTACGGAGAACCGGGTAAATACTTCTGCAACAACTTGCTCTGTGAAAATACAATCAGAATATAGCAAATGAATAGTTTCTACGAAAGAATTTACGAATAACTGTTGTGCAAACGGTCTCTCCCTATTTCATAGTTCCCATGTTGCAGCGTCCCTTTTTTCTCTGTCATCGTGATCATCTCTCTCCCTGCTGTGTTAGGTTGGCTGTGCAGTGGTAGCAGGGCTGCTACACTTCTTTTTCTTGGCAGCATTTTGCTGGATGTGTCTGGAGGGCATTCAGCTCTTCAGGATGGTAGTCCTGGTCTTTAACACAAACTTCAGAACCCTCTACATGCTGGCAGGAGGCTACGGAGTCCCAGCTGTCATTGTTGCTATCTCCGCCTTAGTTAACGCCAAGGGATATGGCACCGAGAGATAGTAAGTTCCCTTAAACTAACGCTGATCTTGTTTTTACCTTTCATTTATTCCAGATTCCCATGTTGTGTTGATATTTTTTTTGCTTAATAAGCAATATCTTATTCTCAATATCTCAATATTTATTGCAGTTGTTGGTTGGACCTGGGATTCATTTGGAGTTTTTTTGGCCCTGTCTGCGTCATCATCACTGTGAGTACAACGTGATTTAGTTGAGAATAATCGGGAAAAATGAACAACATTGCTTTGGAAAAAAACTCCAACTCATCACATGTTGTCTTTTAGGTGAACATCTTCTTCTTCCTCATCACTGTGTGGAAGCTGGCAGAGAAGTTCACAAGTTTAAACCCTGACCTTGACAATCTGCACAAAATAAAGTAAGTTTGCACATTTTCTATTCTTCTGTTTCTTCAAAAAAAGAGTAATAAATACATTAAGGCATGAGTCATTCTTCCCTTAAAAAAAGGGGGAGTTATTTCTGTTGAAAGTGCCTCAGTTGAGACCTGTGTGTATATTTGTTGCCTCCTGCAGGGTGTTCACCATTACTGCAGTGGCGCAGCTGACTCTGTTGGGAACCATGTGGATCTTTGGTTGTTTCCAATTCAATGAAGGCACAATAGTCACGTCTTACCTGTTCACTCTCTGTGGCAGCTTTCAGGGGGTTATGCTCTTTGTCATGCATTGTCTGCTTTCCAAACAGGTGGGTAAGGCGCCTGTCAACAACAATAACAACCAGCTCTGCCGCCTTTTTCTTGGTGTCGCATCTTAATTCTTGTTGTTTCATTCAGGTGAGGGATGAATATGGAAGGATCCTGTCCAGATCCTCGGCTCCTTGGTCGAAGAGTTACTCAAACATCAGCAACTCGCACACCAGCAAAGCTCATGTAAGCAGTCATTAATATTTCACCAAAGCGTCTCTAATTCAGGTGGAATAATGTTGTGTCTAAAGGAAATAGGAAATAATTGTATTTATTTACTGCTCATCAACAGGCCTTAATTGTTTACAGACCAAGCAAATCAAACATTAGGTTTGCATGTGGACAGCGTAGTTTAACAGTTCATCCTTAATTAAATTGCTTAAGAGACTTACTGTGCTTAAGTCAGTGGAATTTAATTTGTAAACCTTTCCAGAACATGCACATTATTCTTTCAGGGTCTTAAAGTTGATGAGGTATTGTTGGAGATGTGAAGTAGAGTGTGTCAGAGAACAGCCTTCCTTGATAATGAAAGAATACCGGATGTGTCTGTCATGACTGACGGTCGTACCTCTGTCTGTGGTCCGCAGGGATCAAAGAGCACCCAGGACACGGGAGAGTCTCGCATCTGAGCACAAAGCGACTCCGCAGCTAATTCTGATGTATGCGCCCGACTACTAACCTGCCGTTTGTGGTCAATGCACCGGTTGGCTTCACTGCAAAATGTTGTAAAGAGTATCCTCCTTTATATTTTTTTATACCGTTTGTTATTGAGTTGCTACTTGTAAATCAAGTTATTTAAAATAAAACAGTTGACTGTTATAATTTCACACAAACGATGAATTTCCGTCAAGAAGAGAAATTACGTTTGACAGTTGTTAAGCTAACTCTTGATTACACCACATAGTGTGCTGTAATTTCATGCCCACATTTGTTTTATTTAAGTATTTAAGAATCATGATATGTTTTGTAATCGGGCCTGTCGTGTCGTTCAGGTACTTGATTTAAACCAGCAGTGACATTTCTGCGGACAAGCACTTTTTTCAGTAGAACTTTAAACTTTAAATTGATATTATCTTAATATGACCCGCAAAGAGAAGGACAATCGTATGACAAAAAATATTTGTGTATATATTTCTAGGCAATGCAGTGGGTAACAGATCAAGTGACTGCTCTAATCAGCATGCAACACGTGTATTACATGTATTGCATTACACTATATGAAAAAAACGTGCTTAGTTTCAAAACTTGAATGTTCAACAAGAACTTTTGTTGTAAGCACTGGTTTTAGCTAAATTCTGGTTTGGTTCATTTATGTATCTTGTATTTTGAATTTCTGATTTACATTTTCTGTCCTTTGCCATTTTAATTGTTTGATATTGTGTTTTCATACTTTCATGCCTCTCCTGCAAGCTTCAAATGAAAATAAATGAGCGCCTCGTTCTCAGCAGCCTTGAATTTGTTTAATATAGAATAAATTAGTTTGGACCATCAAAATGAAAAATACATCTTTAACTATATAGTTATTTATGTCAAAGCCAGGATTTATCCGAAATGGCAAACAGAAAGGCATTTCCAAACGCATGCAATGATGTTGTCAACATTTCCGCCTTCATTTCTGACACTGATTACACAACCATTTGCCTGCTGCAGTAACACACATCTGCCTGGTTAAAAGCTAGATACACTTTCACATACAGAGGAAATAGAAGATAATCTGCTTTTCCTTCCTGTTTGTGTCCGGGACAGACATTATGGTCTCAAGTACCAAGTCGGCAAATTGGTACTCAACTTTAGAAGAGTATACAAACCTTATGTAACCCTGAAAACATGTTGTATTATACGCACCATATTATTTTAGGGTACTCCCTCTTGAACATTTGCAAACCTTGGTGGAGCCGCTGCGGATGCTCCTTTGATGCGTTTCTATCAGTATAATAGAAGCCTCGAGGCGCCTGAGACTCGCCGTGCTCCTTCAGACTACTTTCATGTCCATCTCTGTGCTTACTTAAGGTTCATGAGGCTGTCCGCGGGTGATAACGACCAGGTGGATAATCCCCGCTTAAAATGGAAATAGAAATATCATTAATAATAATGATACCTGAGTTTTTTTTCACTGTTGAATTATTTAGCTAGCCCTGGATCAATACGACAAAATGAAAGTGACTGCCTTATCCCTCTCTGGTGCAAAGAAAATAAACAGAGAAGATGAGTAGATGGACGAACCACATCCAGAGGCGGAAAGAGGACGGAAAATACAGATGCTGAATTTAGATATGCAATAGTTTCCAAACCTCTGGAGGGAGGGAAAGCCAGACCTGGGAGAAAAAGAATGTCAGAGAGGCAGAGGGAAAGAAAGGGAGTCGAACAAAAGCAACGGATTGCGAACAGCAGTGATTAGAACCTGGCAAGTCAGGCAACTCTGCAGACAAGAGAGACATATTCGTCCTCTCTCATCTACCTATCCACAACTTCCAGGGTTTATCCAGAGTCCACGGAAGGTAAGTCTAATGTATTATTCATAATTATTTCATGGTAATTTACTTTACAGATATGATATTTATCATATTATTCTCTGGTAGCAACTACATAATTCATCCTTTATTTTATTCGCATTATCAATGAGAGCTGTGGGAATTTACAGAAGGATTCACACATCTTGAAAGGTGTATTTGAGGCATGTATAATGCAAAAGGAGAACTGAATCAAGTTCCTCTGTAATTTCCAAACACCCTCCGGGGAAATTACTTCACCTACGGTTCATTCGCGATTGATGAAGTAAAAGTGCAGTACCAGAAAGAAATGCAAAAAGAAAATAGTTTTTACCCTGTTCTATTTTTAATAAATATGATTGAACAAATAGACGGTTTGATAAGTGGGAGTCACTAGTGAAGACTGGCCCTGCTGTGTTACCAGAAGATAGAAAAGAACCAGGTCGATTGTACCTGCAGTTTTGACTTTGCTCTTGTTTGTCTTGTACAAAGAAATGTTTGCTCCTGGAACATTTTACAACTGGAGGGCTCTTCTGAGTTTTTTAATCCATGCACCTACTAAGAAGGTCTGTGCACATTATTGTAGTGTTCCTTTGAAAAGTCTGCATCTGGAGAGAGAGAAAGATAATCAATTAATCAAACTAACATTAAGGCTAGTGTCTGATGCATGGTGTATGTCAATAGGATAAAAACTGCTAATGCACCATTGTTACGTCCTGCTGGTTAAAGCTTAATGATGTCAAGAATCAAGTAGCAAAACAAACACAAAACTGTTGCTGCCAAAGTTTGATGTTTGAAATCGTGGAGTAATGAGTTAGGAAACAAGCCAAGCGAGAAGATCTAAGAAAATCATTAAAAAAATGGATTGTTTCCGCTGTATTTGTGAGAAAGCATCTATCAACGTATTCCAAGCACGCACTTCATATGCATGCGCTAATGTCACACACTCCTCTATGTCACTTCTGGGCAGTAGGAGCTCTTCAAATCAATGTTGTTGTCATTAGTCTTTGAGTGGTGAAGAGAAGAATGTATCATGGCATTCATTAGTACATGATTTTGCATTTAAGACTTTGATCTTTCTGTCATCGTGCAAAATTTATCTCTATTAAAAAAACAAAAAAGTATCACTTTGCCTGTGATTCTCTGCAGGACGCTCTCTATACTCATGGATTCTTTTTCTACATCTACCACGCCATCCATCCTCCACCAGAACCTGAGGACCAACTCTTCTGAGCAGCCAAGTGCCTGGCCAAACAATAGCACCTGGCAAAGTTTGGTGGTGCCCTGCTTCACTATGACATTTGGCGCCATCTCCAACCTCACAGCTCTTGGCATCCTGGCCAAGTCCCGTGTGCGATTCCACCGCCGATCCAAAGCCCCATTTCTGCTACTGACCGTGGCTTTACTTTTGGCTGACCTTGCGGGTCACGTGATACTAGGTGCATTCACCTTAGCTCAGAGGGAAAACATAGAGGACGCCTTCTGTCAGATTTTTGGGGCAAGTATGGTGTTTTTTGGCTTATGCCCCTTACTGCTAGGTTGCGCTATGGCAGTGGAGCGCTGTGTGGCCATCACTCAGCCCTTTTTCCATTCTGCTATGGTCACATTGCGTCACATGTGGCGGGTTGTCTTACTTCTGTCCTCTCTTGCACTCGTCCTGGCAGTTCTACCACTATTTGCTGGGGGCACTTACACTCCCCAGTCACCTAAGACGTGGTGTTTCTTGCGTATCCGTGATCCACAATCTCCAGCTGATACCAATCTGGCTCTGGCCTTCTCTGTTCTGGGCCTCAGTGCTCTCACTTTTTCCCTACTCTGCAACACCGTGAGTGCGCTGGCATTGCTGCAGGCCAGACTGAAGTACCGCCATGTTGATGCAGAACCATCAGTTCGCAGCCTTCGTCGTGCATCGTCCACGTCATCCTCCTCGGGTTGTTCGCTAGATGTGGAGATGTTGGCACAACTGGCAGGGGTCACTGTCGTTTCTTGCATATGCTGGAGCCCCTTTCTTGTGAGTATTTTTAGTTTGCAGAATTTGTTTTTCTAGAAAAGATACCTACCACCTTTAATGTTGAGGTATTCTTTGTTTAGTTTTTTGTTTTTAAATGACACGATAAAGCAACAAATGTACCTCATGAGAGATTATTTGTGTTTCCTTCACTATAGATTAACATACTCACGATGCAGTTCAGCCAAAGATCCTCGACACACGAGAATGATGACTTCATGCTCATGGGCGTACGCATGGCCGCCTGGAATCAGATCTTGGACCCTTGGATGTACATCTTACTGAGGAAGGCAGTGGTTTTCAGACTCTGTTGTGCTTCCTACGCACAGAGACCCACAGTGTCAGAAAATAGGACCTTTGCAGACGCACACGGGGAAGCTTTCAGTCTGCAATGACCACATTGCTCTTTTGACTTTTTCTAATGTGGACGAAAATAAATAATTTCTTGTGTGGTGTGAAAAAAAACATAGAATTTGCTGTGTTGTTTTCAACGACGTTTGATGGGGTCCTCGGTCAGCACGCCGGCTGTGAGAATTAGGGATGGAATGAGACTTTGAGAACATTTCACAACATTTAGTTAGTAGTCTGCGCCGGTGCTACTATCAATAGCAGCCACCTGCAAAACTGTTGGATGGGAAACCCGGCGGAGTTCATTCTGCCCAATCGAAACGGAGAAAGCCCTTAACGAGCATTGCGTTCGACAAATAGCTGAGCTGCTTTTCGAGCCTCATACCACTGGTGGGCGGGGCTTCATTTGGCAGCGAGTGCGTTCAATATGGAGAACAGAAGATAGCCCGACTCGTCCTGCATTTCGCTGCTCTCACTCTGTCCTCGGCCACTTCGCTTTTCGGACACAAATTAAGAACCCCGCCCCCCGTTCCCCATCCCGCCACAGGTTTCAGCATACGGGACTCACGTACGTTTAACCCGCAGCCATCGCTCGAATTGTAAATCGTTCCTAGCTTACTTGACGTTACTTACAACTGCTCCGACCGCTCTGTTAAAAACTGTTGTGTAACTTTAAAACTACTGGTTTCCTCAAAACGTCACAATATCGCGAGCGCACTCGACATCCGGAGCTCGATTTTGAATTTCTACCATCTTTTCCGCGGAAAAAAAAATCAAAGTTTAGCAGTTAGCACGTTTTCACCGAGCCGCGAGGGTTACCGGGTGAAAGGTGACGTCGACGTCGGCGGGGTAAGTGGAGGGCCGCGCGTGAATGGAACAAGTTGTGTGACGCAGGGTGGGGTTCGTGCATAACTGCCTGTGTGTGTGTCTGTGTGGTAACTTTCTCCTCAACTCGCGCCCTTCGCCATTTGTCTCAAAGTTCGTGGGGCTACTTGATTTGCACCATGGAGAGCCGTGCAGGCCAGAGGATGCAGCCCGTGCCAGACCCAGCCCTTTAAAAACGCATCTCCCTCTCTCTCTCTCTTTCTGTCTCTCCGTTTCCCCCACGACAAGAATGCACAATGCGGCGAGTGTCTCAGCCTCTCTGGGGTCCGTGGGACTGTTGCGTCTCTTCGGGGTGTCCTGGTCCTGGAGTCTGGCAGCAGGCCTCGGGGTTTATCTGGGCACGAAAAGCTGGAAATACTTCTACATCGCAGCGCGCACAGCCAAGAGAGACGTCAAGTAAGTTAAACACGCCCCCCAATAATAGTTGTGATTCTGTTTTGATCAATCGGTATTATAGTGCCGTCCGATTTGATCGTGTGGTGATCAGATCAAATATCGAGATATCCTGGCACGTAATTCATCCAAAATAATAATAATCAGGCCTGTCCTCGACCCCAATCATTGCTTTTTCAATAAACACTCACGCAATTGTGTCGACGAACTAATCAGTTCGTATAATCGGCTGATCTGTAGAACAAAGAAATACACACATACAAGTTTTCTGTAAAAATACTGATTCAGCATGAGAAAAGCATTAAGAAATACAGGTTCTGCTCTGCTTTGGGATTACTCTCGTGTAGTTTAATAAACAACTACTGTATAAATCCGATTACTGTGTCTGTTACTCTGAATTTGTATTCATGCGTGTAAACCTTTCAGCATGTGGGAACATTTGTTCATTTTCTTATAATCATTTCTAATGTAAATGCTCCTTTTGCATTTAAATCCTTAAATAAATGAGAAAATACATTTCTTTACATTTGCCAAGTATTTAATTCACATTGATATCCAAAAATGTGGTTACCATATAGTCATATAGTTATATTTATTGAGTCACAAGAAAATATTCTAATGCATGCTATATATAGTTATCAAGATATGAAATAACCTCTAAAGATTTTCGACCCTATCGCCCAGCTGGTCGTCATGTTTACACCCGTGCTCACGTCTTTTCTCCTCGTCTCCCCCCTCTGACCCACAGCGGCCTCTATGTGCTGCTGAGAGTGAAGATGGCCCTCTGGCGCTACATGCGCAATGGAAGTAACATTCCTTCCATATTCGCCCAGACAGTCAAGAGACACCCAAACAAACCGGCGCTCATCTACGAGGCCACGGGGGAGACGTGGACGTTCACCCAGCTGGACGAGATGTCTAATAAAGTGGCCCACTGGGCAAGAGGTCAGGGCTGGGTCTCGGGCGACGTGGTGGCCCTCTTCATGGAGAGCAGGCCCTTACAGGTGGCGCTTTGGCTGGGCTTGGCCAAGGTCGGGGTGGAAGCTGCGCTCATCAACTTCAACCTCCGCCACGACTCGCTCATGCACTGCATCGGCGCGTCGGGCGCACGAGCCCTCGTGTTCGGAGCCGAGCTTGCTGATGGTAAGAATGTGTTAACGCGAGATCAAGACCGTAATTTTGTATCAACGGTGGGTTTGAGTACACAATACTGTTTCACAAGTATTGTGTTTATATAGCACATTATTTAAACAGGCATACGATTAGGCTTCTAAAATGTTGTGTGGTTTCACGCCTTAATGTTGATTTAGTGGTGGAGCTGAAACTTTAATATTGACTGTCTCCATTATGTGGTCAGGAGGACATGCTGGCGGTGAGCACATTGCCAGCACTACTTGCCATCTCTTTTTGAAGTTGGTTGACATTTGAATCTGGTTGTTTTCTGTTACAATACAAACACTTGTTTCATTTGTCTGGTTTTTGTGTAATTATGTGATCAGCACTCCAGTTGTTCCTGGGATGTCCATTTTCTCTGCTTTTGTTTGTTGTCACAAAGGTGTTTCATTTGTCAGATTATACAAATTATAATTTACTAGTAAAAAGGTTCATTTGATTAAGTCAAATTTTTATAGCATATAAGTAAACATTACCTCACAATATAAAAAATGTACTTGTGCATTCCCGTTATAGAGCGCTTGAACTAACCTGGTTGTCTTCCTTTCCCTTGTCCCCTGTTGTGACTCTTACTGAATAACAGCCATATTGGAGGTCAGTTCCTCCAACACCATGTCCATGCTGCGGTTTAGTACAGGGGACCTCAGCGCAGAACATCTGGAACGACTGGGTGCTCAACCTTTGGACCCACTTTTAGCGTCTTCACCTAGACATCCTCCTTCACCCTGTGTTCCCCACAAAGGCATGAACGGTGAGTACCTCCATCACTAAAGAGGATTTAATGTGAATGTTAATTATTCATTTCCCTTTTAATACCACCTTCAAAGTCTTTCCATATACTGTGTTTGGTGGAAAACAAAACAAGACGTGTTGCCTGTGAAAACATGACGCACTTCGAAAACAAGGATTATATTTTCTGTTCTGTCATTTTTTGGGGTTCTTAAACTTCCAGCAGCTGTAACGCTCTATTTTTATTCTCCTCTGCAGACCGTCTATTTTATATTTACACCTCCGGCACCACAGGACTGCCCAAAGCCGCCATCGTGGTACACAGTCGGTACGCCAGATACAAAAGCAGAACGCATCCCTCTCCAGAGCTGTTCCATTGCTGCACGGCTTATAGCAGGCGTCTCAGATCCTCTCCTTTGTTCCCACTACAGCTACTACAGAATTGCTGCTTTTGGGTATTTTGCCTTTTGCATGAGTCCTGTCGACATCATCTATGACTGCCTGCCTCTCTACCACTCAGCAGGTATATGACTGCAGGCTCAAGCTTTTGATGAACAGTTTCCCGCTTTTAAGTTTCCATGACCAAAGTGTCAGCGTTCTCTTCCTGCCAGGTAATATCATGGGCGTCGGCCAGTGTCTCATCCATGGCCTCACTGTGGTGGTGAAGAAGAAGTTCTCTGCCAGCCGCTTCTGGGAAGATTGCATTAAGTACAACTGCACTGTAAGAGCTTTTGCCCGGAAACCTTGGACAAGTGCTACTATATTTGAGGAAATCAATAACTACGAAGCATAAGTTCTGAACTGGCGTCAACAACATTCCTGCTCTCCCGTTGTAGATAGTGCAGTATATTGGGGAAATCTGCCGCTACCTACTCTCGCAGCCGGTGCGTCCGTCCGAAAAAGGCCACAAAGTCCGACTGGCGGTGGGAAACGGGTTGCGCCCCAGTGTGTGGGAAGCCTTCACGGAGCGTTTTGGGGTGAAGCAGATTGGTGAATTCTATGGAGCCACCGAGTGCAACTGCAGCATCGCCAACATGGATGGCAAGGTCAGCAAACCCCCCCCCCCGTGTCACTCGGAAGTCTTCGCTGGTTCAAATGTGAGTTCATCACAATTCTTTCCCTGCCAGGTGGGAGCCTGCGGGTTCAACAGTCGCATCCTCCCCAACGTGTACCCAATCCGCCTGGTGAGGGTGGACGAGGAGACCATGGAGCTGGTCCGTGACAGCCGGGGGCTCTGTGTGCCTTGCCGCCCTGGTAACCAATACCGACACTACAGTAATGCATTTGCTACACGTTGCATGTGATTTGTTAAAACAGATTTCCGTGCGTTGCAGGGGAGCCAGGACTCCTGGTGGGTCGTATCAATCAACAGGACCCGTTGCGGCGTTTCGATGGCTACGCTAACCAGGATGCCACGAGGAAGAAGATCGCTCACAATGTCTTCAAGAAAAATGATTCTGCATATCTATCAGGTAACTAATCCTGTTTATTTCCCTAGATATGTTTCTATTGCTAAAATATTGTAAAAAAACAGCCTGCCCGACTCATTCAAAACAAGCGCAATGGGTCTAGTGTTCAAACTAAATAAAGTCGTTTGTGTGACCCTTTGTGCGTTGTTTTGCTATGCCTTTGTCTACCTTAGGTGACGTGCTTGTGATGGATGACATGGGCTACATGTACTTCCGCGACCGCAGCGGAGACACATTCCGCTGGCGAGGAGAAAACGTCTCGACCACGGAGGTGGAAGGTGTACTCAGCAGTCTGCTGGGTCAGACTGACGTGGCCGTGTACGGCGTGGCAGTGACAGGTGATGGTTAACCGTCTCTGTCTGTATTGCATTTGACCGTGCTGACTACTTAACACGCCTTTATCTCCCATCACATGTCGTCCCAGGTGTCGAAGGGAAGGCAGGCATGGCTGCCATTGCAGACGCCACAGGGAGTTTTGACTGCAACAGTTTCTTGCAGAAAGTCCAGCCGGCTCTTCCTTCGTATGCGCGGCCCGTTTTCCTGCGAATCTCCCCACATGTGGACACCACAGGTCAGTGGTAGATCTAGAGGAATAGTCATGGGGCAGCAAGCAAGCAAGCGAGAGAAGGTGGGCGGGAGACTAAGTTTATAGATTTTATCACAACCGTATATCACATATATTTTTTGGGGTGGGAAAACCCAGGAATAAAAACAATTTAACTCAAAACATTAACTGTGGAGAGGCTGCACAGGACAAGCAATTTTAATTTATTTGAAATTAATTATTTATCGTATTTCCATATATTTTTTAATTTTTTTCTACAAAAAAAACCCACTTAAATTGGATGCTTTGATCTTAAATATGCTTAGTTTAGCAGTTTGAGTGGTTTTGTATAGCTTCAGGCCATCAGCAGAGCCTTGCATGCAGAAGAACGGATGTTCTGTAGTTGTACTAGTTGCCTGACTAGCACACACATTCAGCAGGGAAAAGGCCATCAGCTCTCTGTGTGCGACTAAGAACAGACTGGAAGAAACTGCCCAGTGAGCCCACATTCAATTGGTGGCGTCACGGTGACGACGTCCAATTCTTTTGTACAGTGTATGGCTGCAACCCCGCGTCCTCCTGCGGTTCTTGGCACCAAACTGTGGAGTCCATTATGTATTCACTTGCACTCGGACATCACAGTTTTGCTCTTGTTAATCTGACTAGCTGCAGCTTTTCATACGTTTTGTATCGGATTGGCCACAACCGCCGTGGCAAGACCATTAGCTGTTATCCCTCATGAGTTGATAAACACATTATCCACCACTAATCGTGGATGTTAACCTATTGTATGCGTCTCCACATTCCTGCATAGGTACATTTAAAATCCAGAAAACCCGGCTGCAGAGGGAGGGATACGACCCACGTCTCACCACTGACCAGATCTACTTTTTGAACTCCAGAGCTGCGTGTTATGAAGCGGTGGACGAGGAGCTGTACAATGCTATAACGGAGGGAAGGGTGTCTCTATGACATGGAGGCTGTAGCAGGGCAGTCGTGGAGCCTCCGATAAAGAGCTGCTGTAGAGCGAGGATAACGTATGCAAACGCCGGCGTCAGGATCGGCCGGCGTTGATGCACAAAATTTTAACCTCACAGGGAACATAGTTGAAATGACCACTTACGTAGAATTACTTTGAGAATTGTTGCAGAGGTGGTTTTAACACCGTATGAGTGATAACACACCAGCACGTAATAATAAGAAGGCATTTTTTGCATAACTTTTAGCATTTTTAATTATTAAATGAACACCTCAAAACAACCCGAATGAAATGGGTTGCATGTTACAGTAATGTGCTTAGAATAGAAACTCTGTTATATATATATATATATATATATATAGGGTATATTGACTTTTATGAATTACGTTGCAGGTTTGTAGGTTTAGTCCTTGAGTGGGAAGCTCCGGGGTTACTGATGTAGGGTTGGATGTGTCTGAAAGACCAGAGACTCCCACATGCCGTACGTAGGGCATCTAGATGAAACACTAACCGTGGGTCGCTTTTCGTTAATACAACGGAAAGCCCTTTTCACTTTTTACGGCTGAGCCTCCGAACAACACTGGCACACTTTTTCAAACACACACACACACACACACACACACACGTTGTTACTGAATGTGCCTTATATGAAACAATGGATCTGTTTCATTTGTCAAATGCTTCTCTTGAAGAGGATCTCAAAAGAATGTGAAATCACTGTTGTGATTTTGTGTCATGCAAAGCAGTGTCACCCGACTGTCGTTTTATGTAACAAATCCGTGTAGTAATATATTGGTGTTGATGCTATTTACAATTACAGATTTTACAGGCTACAAGTTTTTGTTGTAACTCAAACACATTAAAATTTAAATATTTAAAAACATGTCTGTTTCTTTCTTAAGTAAAATGTATTTTTTGCTTTCATTGCAGTGTATTGCCGTAATTCAGTGTCTCTTGCAAAAGACAAAACGAGACCATCCCAAGCTGCAGCAGCCATTCATTCGTTCATTTCTTTGGCTTATTCCATGAATACTACGTGAGCTAGTCCATCGACAGCATTATCCTCGTGGGCAGGACTTTCAGTGGGTGCTCCTTGCAGGCGGAGCAGAAGTAGGGAAAGGCGCGCGGTGTGACGATATCTTTGAAGGTGTAGAGAGGTGTTCTCTCTGTAGGGTCGTAAAAGGTCACCTTGCACCGATCCATGTCTAAAACTACCCGTATCACTTCCGGTGTCTTGGTCATGCTCAGAGGCTCCCACGGGGCCGTGCAGGCCTTGTGCTCTCGGTTGCGAAACCGTATTGTCCAGAATCCCTCTGCCGGTGTAAGTACGTGCTTGCCCTTCCTTTTGATGGAGTCACTGGCCACTCCCACCACCCAGTAGGCGTTGTCCTTCACCTGCACATCCCAGCTGTGGCGTCCGGAGGTGTAGCCTTCGGCAGCCAGCATCTCAGCGCTAATGTCAAAGCGCTCTGGGTTGTCTGGCAGCTTAAAATTCTCGGTAGAGTTCTGCAGGACCGTGAGATCCGCCGAGAGGACGAAGCAGCTGGCTGCTGTGTTTGGATCAAGGATCACCGGATCTTTAGAGGGGGAAAAAAAGCAAAACGGTTACTAATGTGGTGAGAAAAGAGCTGGGTGATAAAACATGGCGAGTTATATTTGAGGAACTCACAGTATTGAACTATGCTCTTCATCTTCTCCCACACTTTAAATTTCAGAGAGCCCAAGTGCTTGGCCACATCGATCAGGCCATCGGAAATCATTTGTGGATCAACAGAAGTTTGCCATGTTCTGAAAAAGATACTCAAAGAGTTGTTTGTTGATAAATGTGTCCGTAAAGTTGTATTATCAGCAAGACTGTCCAGCAAGACTGTCATATGACAGTCTTGCTGGATACAAGATGTAGAGACACTTACCTCCTTATTGTTTCCTTGTAATTCTGAAAAACAAATGTAACAGAACATCTTAAAACCACTTCTGTTTCGAATATTGAAACCGTCTGAAGCAACGTTCACGTTTACCTTAAGAAATGGGATATCTCGAGCTTTCATCTCCTGCTCCAATAATGTGATGGTATTCGAAAGAGATATCATTTCGGTGTTCATCTCCTCGAACATCTGTTTAAGCACTAGATTCTTCTGCTCCTCCTCGGCTTTTAAAGCGGAAAGTCTTGCAGCCTCCTGCTCTTTCAGGAAAAGGTGAAGGGCTTCGAATTCCTCTCTGATTTGTGATTCGGTATGTTCAGCCTGGTTCTGGAGAGGGACAGATTGACGGGTAATCTTTGCTTCCACACCCTCGGCCCTTCCGCACGTTCAAAAATAACATGCTGCACCGATGTCAGTGACGTTACCTTGACATGTTCTGCCATTTCCTCACAGGCCATTTTCCTCTTCTTGTACAACTGCAACTTCTCTTTTAAAGGCAGCAGCGCACTCTTCAGTTCCGCCTAAAAGGTCAGTGACAGGGCATCAACGCTTAAAAACCAAGGTCAGTCTGGCAGACGGCCCAGCTGTCAACGTGGGGCTTTCAGCTGCCGCATATTGTTCCATGGCAGCATGAGACACGAAGCTGCACAATGCAGCAGAATCAAGTTAAATGGCCAAATCCCCCCAAAAAGGATCCAATGTTCTGGTTACGGGAAATTGAACTCATGCAATTTAGGATCAAGACGGAGACACAATATTGGAAGAATTTCAATATTTCACATGAATAGAACAGATGAAGTGTCACAGAAACTTGTGGGAATCAAATTTCCTCCCTCCCGGGACCCCCAGTGCAATGCCGAACCATAAATATACACCTATTATTAGAACGTGAATGAACTCTGCCTCCACACCAATCAACATATCAGGCTTAGAGAAGCTTGAAAGGTAGCATCAAAATGGGAAAAGGGTTAGTTAGTATATTTGTATTGCTAAAATGTTGACACGCTGTTAATCCAAATAAAGTCGGTGTAAAGTAACACTTCTATAGGGTGAATGACAGACGGCTTCTGAGTTTTCATTTGCAAATTTGCAAAAATAAAAGCAGTTGACATCTTCTTACATTGTTTTATTTGTGACAAGTCAGGCACAACATGTGTATATATTGTTGTATTGTTCACTAGATCGTAGTCTATAAAAGACTTTGGCATCAACAAGCTATCATCAGTACTAAAACGGAGGAAGACGTTTGGGGAAATCCAAGATGTAGCAAATCCTGAAGATATTCAGAATGCCACCACTGAATTTTGGGGGGCGAGGGGGGAACAGCACGGTAACTTTAACTTACCTTACAGTCATGAGCACCTTCTCCAATGGGATAGAGCCTATGGCCGGTGTGTGCAGCTGCCTTCCCACACACAACGCAGATTGCCTCCAAGTCCTCCAAGCAGAACATCGTGAGCCTTTCTCCGTGCTCCTCACAAGCCTCCGGGTCATTCTTGCTGCGGCCCGCCTTGACGGATTCACAGGACTTCTCCTGCACAGTGCTCACCACCATTTGATCCATGGAGGAGCCGTGCCAGCACAGAGGACAGCTGTGTAAATCCCCACCACCTCGTGTCTCGCAGCTGTCTTCTAAACAGGCTTTACAGAAGCTGTGTCTGCAAGTGAGCGCCACTGGCTGATTGAGAACGTATCCGCAAATTGGACAGGAAAGGTCATCGTCGAGATGAGCACGACTGCTGGCCATTTGTCTTCGCTGGGGGCTTTGGCGAGACGATGGGCGGGGGGGGGGGGGGGGGTTTGGAGGCTCCTCCCATGCCTCTGGAAAGTTACCTCCAATTTGACCTCGGAAATAAGTGTTGATACCTCGGCTTCTAAGAGGCATATCCCGGACTATGCTGTGTTGTGTTGGGCATGCACGTCCCGCCTTCTCAAATAAACACCGTAAACCTCAGAGGGGGAAAAAATGAATTGGCTTAACATTTAGGAAACTGTATCTGTGCAGATCAGAGCATGAGTGCACCAACTAACCCAATGATGACAGAAGCGTAGGCTATGTTATGATGAACCCTTAAGCGATCTGACAGGTCTGCTGAAGCAAACTGTCCCAGTGTAATGGAAGTTTGCGGAGAAACCACGGCCAAAAGAAGACTGGCTCAGCATATAAATAGACTGAAGCAACCGATTTGGGATGAAGTTATATGGGTACTGAAATGTCCTCCTGCTGACCATTGGAATATTTAAAACATGGTTATTTCTCTTGTTAGGGCAAATAGAGTGTATTTCAGAACATGGTGGTCAGACAGTAGCTTGGGCATAGATGTTAATCTGTTACTTTCCAAATAATCTAACAGTAAATTGACCGTGTGTGGACTGCAAACAAGTATTTTGTTGTGAGTATTAGTTTACGAGAATAAGAATGCAGTGGCAATGATAGAGCAAGAGTGTGTATAGCGATATACGCCCTGCCGTTTGGAAACGCGTTGCTGCGCCTACTGCGCCTACTGCGCCTAGCATTTAATAGCTCTTTTATTTTTCCACTTCATGTCCTCTCTTGTCCTCATTACTGATTGACTCTCGTCTTTAACCTTTGTCATTTAGCTCATTAAGTCCACCTGATCACTCCGTTTTAATATGCCGATACACCAGACCGAGTGTGTCTCATGCGCACTGAATGTTTCTAAATTTCATTCTGAGTTTTCCTTTTTTGACCTCTAATAAACAAATGCGTTTGCACTTGAGGATGCTGATGAGTGGTAGCTTTTTGGCATTGGGTCACTGTGCAGATATGTCCGATATTTAATATCTGATTGATTGATTTCTGATCTGAACAATTTCAATTGCGCAAATTTAAAATTGTGACTGAGAAGCAGCTCAGGTAGATGAAGTAGTGGCTGTTTTGATTCATCAAAACGTTTTAGCTGTTTTGATCTTACAGTTGGTAATTTGAATATTATTATTATTATTAAACTTAAAACAGTTTCTAAATTAATTAGTTGGAAAAAGCCAGATGGATTTCTTTGCTTCTTGGGTTTGTATGCTGAACTTTCACACAGGCATTCACAGAAATAATGAGGCTGATGTTTTGCTTGTGGGAGTTCTAATTAGTTAAACAGAAGTTTTCTTCTCTGTATAGGTTTTCTATTTCCAATTTCACAAGTGAATGATTGAACGATCATTCTTCATGTTGAAGTAAGTAAGCTTAACGTTATGATCCTTCTGTGAATTCTGTGATTCCGGCCTGTTATGTGGCACGTAGATCAGACAAGCTCAGGATGAAAGTCGCTTTCCACGTGCTCTATATTATTCACATGGAAGTCGATGGCTCTCTTTGAAGTAGAGGGGACACTGTTTAGTCCCCTGTTGTGTCCAGAAGTTCTCCAACCAACCGCAAAAGATCACAATTGATGCAGCAGAGGACCACTGATGGCAGAAATACGCCCCCCCCCCCCACACAGCAGGAATATTCAGCCTGACTTGAGACGTCAACCTCATCCCCATCAGCATTAATGCAGCACTGATGGGGAACTGCACAATAAAACCAGTATTCCCTCAGAAAGGACAGTATGTACCATTGTTGTCAAACTGCATATGGGCCTGATGTCAGAGAGAAAGAGACCTGGCTGCTCTAGTTTCAGCATGAATGCACTTGATCAAGTTTTAAACCAAGGAACTAAAATACTAGGGAATAATGCAGGAACTCTTGAAAAGTTGATTTAGATCTTCAAATGTGAGTTTAATGGTTTATGTTGGGTACTTAAGGAAAAGGGGGGGGGTTAAGTTATGTATGTATTTAGTTGTCAGTACCATTCAAATTCATTTATTGTGAACCTTCATTTTCTGAATGTTAAGTTCATGATCACAGGAGAAACCTATGGGCAAAGTTATCATGCATTTACACAAATTAAAGCTAAATTGATTTAATAAAGAACAGAGCTGGATGTAAAAGACTTTAGCGGTACCAGTAATATATTGTCTAAGTACTTCTGACATTACGTTTATGGACGAAGGAAAAATAAATACATCTTTAATTCACATGGTCCACTTTATTGATTTTCACATAGAATATTAAGTATGCATCCGTACAAGGAGAAATACAGATTTACTGAAGAATAAAAAATAAATGGAATTAAAAGCAGAAGGTGTGTGACATTTTTGATCAGCTAACAACAAAAATGAAACACAATAACATGGTCCTCCCCGGAATTAATGCAAGTCAAATCAGCCAAGCCTCCAACTCTAAAACTTTAATCTCAGTTGAGCCGGAGAACACGCAACACGTGAGATTGGTTGTCTGGCTGAGGAGAGATTAAGGCAAGACGTGGAAATAAAATGTTATACAAAGCAAATGTTATTTAACATGGAAATGTCTCGGCTTCACCTGAACATTTAACTTAAAACATTAAAAAATAAAAATAAATTATCACCACCACCAGTTATAAAGTAAAAGATTGTATGTATCATAATTTGAAGAGTTTAAATATGTTTATTTTTTCAAATGTTTTCCCCCGGTAAAACAGTTATCTACAAACAAGTCCTTGTTTGTTAACAGTGCTCTGATACGTTTTCATCATATTTAATACTTTTTGGCTTCAACATTAATCGAATATTTTCCAGTCCTCGAGGACCTGAGGTGACCGTGGCACAGTAACTTCACATCAGCTTCCGGTCGGGGTGATCAGAAGCCCGCCCAGAGCGTTGGTGTCGGACCTCCAGGTGTTTGCACTGAACACGGTCGAAATGCTGCAGCAGCTCGTTGTAATCCATCGGAGAGTGAGAGGCACGTTTGGAGACTTGCCGTTTGGAGTCCATGTGCTTGGACTCGTCCACAGTTCTCATGAGCTCCGGGTTGGGGACGCACCGCAAGCGGTGGGACAGCAGCTGGAAGGCCTGGCTCTGCGGCAGCAGCATCAGCAGGCCGTACAGCGCCTTTATCAGGTAGGGGTTGTTCTCCACATCTAGGAGCTGCAGCCGCAGGTACGTGAAAATGGGGCTTTCTATCAGCTGCACCAGCTTGTCAACCTCCATCAGGAAGTCTACCGTCACCTCCAGGTCCCCGAACCTCTGGATGAGATCGTAGGCGTGTTTGTAGTTCTGCGTGAGGAAGCAGAGCGACACGGTGGCCACGGGGTTGTGGCACCAGGAGCGATACAGGCAGCAAAACAGGGCACAGCTCTCCTGAGAGTGCAGGTCCTTCAGCTGGTTGCGTAACTGGAAGAGCTCAGCCGAGGTGAGCAGGATGGTGTTGAGCGTCTGAACCATGGTGGAGGCGAATTTGAGGTCCTCCTCCTTCAGCAGGATGTCCGCCATGGAGTGGAAGATATTCTCTGCGTGGAGCAACAGACAGAGCTGCCGGATGATGAAGGCTCCTCTGACCTCCAGTAGCTTCCTCTCCAGACAGAAGCGTTTCAGCAGGTTGATCATGAACTTGTAAAAATAGGAGTTCATACTGGGGGTGGACGGGGACGAGTCCCCCGTTTTGGAGCCCGGGACCTTGAGCTCCAGTTTGCCGTCAGCGCTGTCGCAGGACCCGGCTAGGTCCGTTTGGCCGGCCGGAGACGACGCTATCTCGGCCAACACCTCCAGATCTTTCAGTATCACCTCATCCGACTCGTCCGACAGGGTTTTCAGCAGCATGGGAAACAGGCCGTCGGTGTGGCGGAACATTTTTCGCGGCGTCTTGATGTAAAGGTGGTAGAGCCATTTGAGCACAGCGATGCGGGTCATCATGCCAGTGGAGGAGTCGTGGAGGTGCCGGTCCAACACCTGGACGATGCCGTCCAGGTCCAGCGTTACCTGAGGCCTGTCGGCGCTGGCTGGAGTGAAGAAGCTGATGTTACTGAAACCGACAGATTCCTGCGATGCGTTCAACATGTCGTTGCTGTCCGCCTCCGTCACGGGCCGGCCATCGTCCTTGGACGGCGACCCCGTGCCTCCACTTTTCTCCTCATCCTCTTCCTCGTCATCCTCGGGAGTCACAAGCTTCATCAGACTGTGATTACAGGCACTGGCCGCTTCTTTGGTGTTCTTCTTCCGGTCGTCGTAGGAAAGGCAGGGCAGCACCGCGGTTAGGATGCCAGAGGAGTAGGGGAGAACCACTCTGCCCGCAAGCTGGATGAACTCTCTCATCCAGGTCATGGCCGTCAGCTGGATCAGGTCGTTCGTGAGCTTCGTCTCGTCCGCAACCTGGCAGTGGATGACCAGGACGTTGGCCATCTCAGCAAATTTCACACTGGAAGGGGTCTTTTTAATCTCCTTCAGGAACTCTCCAAGCACCACCTCGCACGTTCTGCGGATCTCCTTGCTGTTGTCCCCCAGGATCTGGAAGAGCCCGTCCAGGATCTCGGGGAGGTAGTCCAGCAGGTGGATGTCCGGAACGGACTCCAGAACGTGGATCCAGGAGATGATAAACTGCCGCGCATATTGATTATTGGAGTAGATCCTCTCTCTCAGCAGGGGGACAAACGCCACTAGGTCAAACTTGTTACTCTCCGTCACAATGTCTTTCAGGAGTCTGTCCAGGAGTTCGGATCCGCTTTTCACGTTGGGGTCCGGGTCTGCAGAAAGCTTGCTGAGACCGTCAAAGAGCAGGTTGAAGTGGGGCAGCACAGCGCCCCTGGCGACCTTGACTATATTATAGAGGGCCTCGCATGCGTAGTACCGCAGACGGCTGTCCGAGTCATTGAAGCAAGTGAGCACCGGCTCAATAAGTTCCTTCAGATACAGACCGGAGTCCTTGCCGAGGGCGATGGAGCAAGCCGCCAGTCCGATGAGACCCCCCTTCCGGCTGTGGGGGTGCTGGGAAAGCGCAAACTCCGAGGCCAGGATCTGGATGACATGTCTGATCTGAGTGGAGTTGTTCTGAGCCACAAACTCCCGCACCAGTTTCTCGATTTCTAGAGCTGCGACTTTCCTCTTCTCGTACAGTTTGTCATTCAGAGCTCGGACGATGTTCGGCGTCAGAGGTGAAAAGTCCTTCTCCGTGTTCATGTTCGTCGCTGTTGTCGCTGCGGATCGCGGCTACTGAACGCGTGCGTTGATTTGCGGGGAAAGAAGTATGCGTGGATGATCATTAAATCGAGGGGAAAACACATCGGTTTCACCGAAGATAGAGGAAGAGAGAGAGAGAGCAGCTGACCGGCTGCATCCGCCGGAAACGCGTCACCGTGGCAACAGTTATTTAGTTCCCGCTCCGCGAGGAACCTGTTAGCGCAAGTTAGCTTCCTCCGCTAGCCGCGCGCGCAGCTAACGCTACAAAAAAAAACCAAAACAAATGTCCGTACCACTTTTTCGCGTCGAAGACACCATGGCGAGCCGCCGCTCCTTCCACTTGAAACTGTCCTCCATCATGGAGGCGATGGCCAGGTCCGCCCTGAGGCACGTCTGCGACCTGGTGGACGAAGAAGTGTCCGAGCTCCGGCTGGGCTTAACGCGGCTGACGGCTTCCAATTCCGCCCTGGTAGAGAAAGTCAAATGTCTGGAGTGCGAGTTGCAGACTGCCAGGAGCAAACTGTCCGGTTTGTGTCAAAGTTATCGGAGCGTAAGGTGCTCAAACTGAGACGGGAGGGGAGGGATGGGGGGGCGCTACTAATGTGTGTTGTACCGTTTGACTTTTCCTCAGTGTCTGCGTCGCCCTCCATAGAAGGGGTCTTCGGGAAAGATTGGTGTATGGATCTGTGGAAAGGAGGAGAGGAACGCTCGCCCCCTCCGCGGCCCTCCGAGGAGGTCAGGAGATGTTTCCAGAGCTCTGCTTTTGATCCGTGTATCGTGCAGAAGAGCAGGTTTACATGTGAAGATGTCTAAAACATGTTCTTTAAGTTGCGTCACAACAAGGGTTTCATCCATCGATGCTTTTTATTGTCACGGTTTTTTTGGGACAAAATGTATCATAAAAGTTAATAAATCCTACTCTTACAGAAAAGATGACCATCCCAAAGCCCAACACGATGTTTTCACATTTTTTCTGCAACCACCAATCCAAAACCCAAAGCTAAGCTAATTTAGAAAACCGTAATGAAGACTCTGAGGGACAGGACCCACAGAAGGTTTTACATTTTTCGTTGACGCAGATGAATTAATCCATCATATGAAATTGTGTCCATTTCCCACCGATCGTCCACTCGTCTATTCATTTCAGGACTGGTCCACTAAAGTATCTCATTTAAAACGTTGCTGGATTTAATGTTACTGTAATATTTAGACCGTTTTTATTTTTTTTGCAGTTTGTGCTGCCCGAGCAGATGAGTGCGTCTCAGATCAAAGAGGAGATGGAGCATGTGGAGGATGCCGCTGGGAGCTGCCAGCACGAAACACTTGGCACAGAAGGTGAGTGAAGGAGGGGTTGGTATGAGGAAATGGTTGACTCAACAGATTTAAGCAGCTTTCCGTTTTTTTTTTTTTTTTTTTAAGTGTTTAATTTGGATTTTTGTATCCAACAGAGCACGAAGAAAGCCCGGCTGAGGAACCAGAGCCGCTTGCAGTCTGCTTGCAGTCTACTTCCAGCCGCTCAGCGGATCAGGACGAGGAACAGGTCTCGTGCGCAGGGGGTATTGAAGAACCGACAACTGGGCTGATGTCTGTCGCTGACACAGAGCGGGCCTTCAGCATTTACACCATTCCGAAGGAAGATGATTATGACAAGGATGAGGCTGTACCATTTGTTGAAGAAAGTCAACAAGCGGCAACACTGGAGGCTGCATGTGGGACCAGGCACGTCAAACAGGACACGGTACCTTCTAACAACTTTGAAAACGGCACCGCTCGGGATTCCCTCGAGGACTTCAATATGCTTAATGTGGAAACCCCCCCGGACCCAAGCAAAGAAAAGTTCCAATGTAAATTATGCGACATAACCTTCTTCCACAAGCGCACTCTAACCCAACACATGAAGTACCACAAGTCATTATCTTGCAAAATTTGCACGCAACAATTCTCTCAAAAGTCCAAGTTAAAGTCTCACCGTTGCTCGGACGTGATTTCCACTCAGAGATTCGGCAAATCGTGTCCGCTGTGCGGGAAGATTTTTCAAAACGCATCGGCGCTGAGGCTTCACTCTGTTGTCCACACCGGGGAGAAATCGCATAGGTGCGGCATATGTGGGAAAGGGTTCACCCAGAAAGGCAATCTGAATTGTCACCTCCGTCTCCATACTGGAGAGAAACCATTTCGCTGTGTTAAATGTGGGAAGACATTTACGCAAAAGGTCCACCTCAACTACCATTTAATATATTACGGGCATGGCGAGATCCTGTAGCTACGCTTAAAACCTGTGCGACAACGGCTTCATTTAAATGCAACGTCATGTGCTACTTCTCACACCAGTGTTGGGGCAGTTAATGTCATATTTTTCAAGAAGTTTATTCAACCTTTATTTGAATTGATGTCTTTGTTTGTTCAAACCTGAAAAGAATCAGTGTTTATCAGTTTTGTCCGCAGGGCTAAAAAATGTTTTAGTTTCCTCATCTGTCCTCACAATAAAACACGTTTGTTTTTATTCGACTTTTATTTGATAAGTCTCCTTTTTTAAAGTTGAACATGTCTTTGTTTGATCTAACCTGAAGTAATCTGTTTTTTCTGTGATGTTTTTACATATTCAACTTTAAGGGCATGCAGCTTTGAGTGAAAAGAGGACATCCAAAATAATAAGTTTCTTTCTTGAGCAGGGATAATTCAATCAGTGGGTCATGGAGGTCCGGTCAAGGGGATCCTGGGACCGGCAAAATAAGTGCGAGAATGACGGTTCAGCACAGAATCAAATGAAATCCCTCAAACAGAAATGGTTCCGATTTAGAAAAAACACCCACCGACATCTGGCGCGACTGTACGATGACCGCACAACTCATCTTTCTACAATTGTGATGCACTAAATACATTTATTTAAAACAATAACAGCATTCAAACCACAGCCACTTGTGGATCTCACTTGAATATTATGTAACCAACACACATCTACACTTCAAAAAGAGACCTTTGTACTTCCTTTAAATATCACATATGACGTGGGCATGATTTGAGACACTTATGAGGCTTTGAACAATGAAGAAAAAACCAAGCCAGTTTTACTTCAGCATTGTCGTGAAGAGGTAGTTTTGAAGGTTTTAGCTACGTGTGCAAAACAATGGAGCACGTTTGTATTACTTGAGTAAGTATTTTGGCATTATTAAACCCAGGCCGTTGGTGGCATGAAATATGACACTGAGGTATAATGCGTTACCCCAACCATATGACTACATGCGATGTATAAAGTCTAAGTATTTGTCACAACTTGGATGAGCACGTCACATTAAATGCACGAAGAAATGTCTCACCTGATGTATGACACTTATAAACTATATTGTGTAACATACTTAATAAGCTCTTTACGGGCATGGCACATTAATAGAACCCCAAAGCGATAAAACAAACCAAATCCCACTAATTCAAATGGTACACGAGGGGACAGACATTCTGTGTTCCCTCGTTTCGCTTGACAATAAAAGCTAAAAACACGTCAAACTAGGTTTTGCAGGAGCACCATTAAGCATAACTATCTTTGATATAAATAAGAGTACGTCAAACCTACATTTCCTAACCACATTTGAGTTTGCCGTAGCCTATAAGCGGGCGGGCGCCCTTGAAGTAGCGGTTTTGGAATCGGTTTTCTTCTCACCCGTGAAACTGGTGGTTGGACGAGTCAGTGGAAACACTGGTGGTGATTTAAACCGTACTTGTACGCGTAACATTTCCCACAGTCCACACAGCTGTAGGGCTTTTCACCCGTGTGTGTTCGAAGATGTATGTTCAGAGAGCTTTTCTGGGAGAAGCTTTTGCCACAGTCCGGGCAGCTGTAGGGCTTCTCTCCGGAGTGCACGCGCTGGTGCAGCTTCAGGTACGTTTTCTGAGCAAACCGCTTGCCGCAAACCGAGCAGCTGAACGGCTTCTCGCCGGAGTGCCGCCTGATGTGGACTTTTAAACTGCTCAGATAGTTGAATATTTTCCCACAGAACAAGCACTCGAAGCGCTTGGTCGGCTTCGCGGGTTTCGACTCGCCGTTGAACTCTTTGGCCGCGCTCGGGTGGATGTGGTTGGCGTAGTTTGAGTATTCGCCGGGGGCCGGGGGGACGTGCGTGTCGTCAACCAGGGCGCTCATGGTCGCGTCGTCTATCAGCTTGTCCATAATTGTCGGCTGTGCGCGTTGCTGCGCTTGACTGTCAGCTGTCATGGGGAAGCTGCTTAATTGCCCAGAGTGAAGCTGCAGCTCGTCAACGGATCTATGAAGCATGCTGTCCTCGTCAAAAATGCCCACAACTGTCAAACGACAACAAATGCAGTTAAATCACAGGAACTGTTGTGGATTGTAATTTTTTCATCTTGTATATTTGTAATCCAAAACTTAACCTTTTCTAGTATCCGGAAGCCTCATCTGCTGGCCGATGGGATGGTCGTCATAGATCTCCTCCTTGACGAAGACGAGGTCGGGTTCGCTCGGCATTAAATCGATCGCCTACCAACAAGACGTGTGACACACAATCTTGTCAGATGGCATTGTGGGCAACAAAAAAAATATGTCTCAATGTTTAAACCACATGGTTTACTGACCTGAACCCCCATGCTGCTCATGGCCGTCTCTTTCCTTTGAGGAGGCATTTTATCTTCCCTCCACAGATCCATGCACCAGTCCTTTCCGAAGACTCCATCGATGGATGGAGCCAGCTGCTGCTGTTCTGGAAGAAGAAGCAGATGTTAATTTGGGAACCCCCTCCCCCTACAGGTGATAATTATATATATATATATATATATATATATATATATATATATATTTATATATATTTATTTATTTTTTTTGTTTGTTTTTTTTGAAGTCTTTAGACTCAATGTGAAAGAGCATAGGGTGCACATCTGCTCCTCGGGACATGAGAGGAGTTGAGGTAGCTGAACTAAAGCTAACTAGCCTGCTGTGACCCCCAACAGATATGAGCGCTGACAGCCAGCCGGTCTGTCTCTCTCTCTCTCTCTCTCTGTCTGTCTCCCCCTCCAGACTTCTGACCTGCGGGGTGCCGCCGGCCGACGTTGTTGACATGAGCGGAGTAAGTCTGCGCCTCCCTCGCTGCTCTCAGCTGCACCTCCAGCAAGTAGCACCTCCTCTTCAGCGCCTCGTTCTCCGTCTTGTGCTGGGATATCTCGCTGTGGAGAACGGACGAGCACTCGTCGGCGAGGCTGCCGATTTCGAGCAGAGCCGCCTTGGTTAGCTTGTCCAGGACGGCGGCTAACTGCGCACGAAAACTTCGGTTCGTCGTGTCGCACATCATGTCGGCGGCGAGGCCCGGTTGTTGTCGGAATCACTGCGAGGTTCCTCGGCGGCGGCGGCGGCGGCGTCGCTCCGTTATCGAATTTGCGATGTAGCCGGAGAGACGCTTCGGTGTTGCTCCGCCGCAAGGGATTGTGGGTACCGACGTTTACGAAGGGCACCCGAATGCAGCACGAAGGAGCGGAAGCTGTGCGAGAGAGACGTTTATGGAGCTCGATGAATATTTTAGGTCGCGTTACTGCCGCTGACCCTTTTGTTGAGACACCCCCGCTGAGGTGCATTCACCACCGATTATTTTCTGCCCCCTAGTGGAGACAAATGAGAACTCCATATATATTTTCTGGTTACACGGAATTACTATTACATTATCATTACTGTTATGCATGTTATATGCATGTATAACCCAATGTTAGTTTGGTTACCATACACCCCTAGTTCTGATAGAAATAGTATTAATGTAGCTTTGAAACATGAGTGTTGTTATTGTTACTTTCCAGTGGTCACATTGAAGAACTGCAACACAAATGACTCACATTGCAGTGTGATGGTTATGGATCAATACGCACAAACTATTATAATTAGCCAGATTACTGACATGACAGCAGACACCGGTCTAACCTCCTGATGTTTACACAGCCATCAATGCAGACAATATATACTACAAGGAAATCCAACAGATATCATAACATGTTTATTAAAATATATATCTAAAGTACTTTCAACCAATCGTGTTACAACAACGTAATCCTAGTAATCAAGGTTGTAGGGGGGAAAAAAACAGTGTTCTTCGGGCTTTACGGTTCATGTAATGTTTCCAAATCATGTGAGAAGAGAAGAGACACGTTCTAAACACTGGATCTAGGTGTTTGCCATCTTTGGCCCATTTACTCATGCTCCCTAATAAATAAATGTCGTGGCTGTCTCCTTTGTGATCCAGGTGAGGAAGATTACATTCATTCATTGCATTGACTCCTGAACAACTCCCCTGAAGTAGTGCCTGCTCAAAGAGACATTTTTTGTTATTTTAGTTGTTGATTGTCAACCCCTTTTCTGCACAGAGTACTGTTTTCTGCCTATAAGGCATCAACAGCAATTAATAAAACAAGATTTATTGATTTGTGCAGGCTTTGGGCTCAGTTTACAATGTTGTGTTTTATACTGTAACCTTTTTATTATTTATACAGTAGCACAACATCAAGGCATAATATAACACGTTGACATAGATTTCATCCCATCAGGTGATACACACTTAAATCTGGAGCAAAGGTGATATTATTTTGTACATAATATTTCAATTGAATAGCAGTAGAAGTCACATTTGGTTGCGTTTTTTAGGTGGTTCCGTTTACAAATGTCCCGCTAAATGTGGGCACGCTAGATTCACTGCCGTACATGTTAAAACTAGGATCCAGATGCACAGCAAGGTGTTTTTTGAGATTGCAGTTCTTGGTAAAGCCCTTGCCACATCTGCTACAAACAAAAGGTTTTTCTCCGGTGTGTGTACGCTGATGCATATCCAGAGTGCATTTCTGAATAAAGCCCTTTCCACAAATAGGACAGCGGTAGGGCTTCTCCCCAGTGTGTGTCCGCTGGTGTGTGTACAAATGTCCTTTTTGAGAGTATCTCTTTCCGCACAGCGTGCACCTGAAGGGTTTCTCCCCTGTGTGGCTCCTCTGGTGTATTTCAAGCTGGCTAAAGCATCTGAAGCTCTTACCACACTGCAAGCAGCCAAACCTCTTTGCAGCAGAGTTCCTCAAGTTGTGAAGTTTCATATTCCTGAGCGCACTTAAGCTTTGGGACGCAACATTTGGAGCCGGGCTTTTCCCAGCCACTTGGTTTGTGTGTGCAGGTGCAAGATGGGGATTCCACTGCGTTTCCTTCCTCCCATGTCCAGCGAGGGACGAGTGGCTGCTCATGGTCACGAAGCTGTCGGTAAACAGAGGCTGCAGGCGATCTGTGACAGGTTGCCGACACTGCATCCCTTCTGAACTATTCTGGGTTTCTGTGAATGCTTCCCCTCCTGTTGACAGTAAGTGAGTATGTTAGCCTTTTGAATGTTTATTGGTGATAAAAAAAAAATAAACCCAGCTGGAGGGCCACAAAAGTCTAAATGTGTGTAATTAAGTGTTAATTATTGTAATGGCCGTTTAACAAAAATTGTTTACACGAAAAGGGATTGTTGTATGTGTTGTATTCATTGCCGTCAAAGCAAACTTTCTTTAAATGCTCACTGTTTTCACTTGTCCGTTGTTGTGCACATTCACTGTTATCCACCTCCAACGGCTCTTCCTTTACCACGATGAGTTCTGGCGTCTCCCTCAGCGGGTTTGCCAGCTAGTAAGGGAGCAGAATGTGACTAGAATTAGTTTAAAAAGCAAGGACAAGGTACTAATATGCTGAGAGAGCGTGATCGGCGCTGGACTTACCTCGGCTATGGGATGCTCTTCAGCTTGAAGACGATGCCATTTGCTCACCTCGGTGGAGGAAGCGGTGCTTTCCCACGGACCTTCACTGGAACGCCACAAACTAGGTTAAACACACGTGGGAGGGTTGTAGCCCACGGCAAAGACGCGATGGAGACGCACTCCCCGGTGGACCACAACCCCCAAACGCAGGTACGCACAGCAATCAACAAAGCCTACCCTTTCATGGAAGGTCTGGTCCTGTCCGGCTGCAGCCCGGAGTCCTCCGAGGCGTCCCCCACCGCCGCCGCGTCCTGCGTCCTGCCCCCCTGCGCCATGTAAAGCAGTTTCTCCATCAGCTGCAGCTTCTCCGTGAGCGAGGTGACTTCGTTCCGCCCGCGAGTTATCTCGATTTTGAGCATCTTCGACTCGATCTCGACCAGTTTGCTTATTTCCAGTACAGCTGTTTTGGATAACGCGTCCATGATGGAGACGAGCTGTGTCTGGAAGGAGAAGACTGTCGACATGTTTCGTCTCCTTGTCAGGGACGCGAAGAGTCCGGTGGACGAAAAGTTAGTCAAAAAGGTGTTGCGTTCACCGCGAAACGTGGTTAACACGTAAACTAAGAGCTGTGTGAATGTGTGTGCGCAAACGTGCACTCGAGTGTCTCTTCAAAACTCAAGTGGTTGTCACGGAAACGGTGTTGCCATCTACCGGCCGGGAGGACGCGTAACAACCGTTTGAGCGACTCAAATATCGATTATTAATATTGACTTCGCTTCTTTGTTGACCTGAGACCCCCCCCCCCTCCCTCTGTTATCATCTGAAGAGTTTAGTTAGTGACGTGCTTTTCATATTTAAGTCAATACACTTGAGTTTTTAGGACGTGGTAGCTATGTAGTCGGGGCCACATTGACCAGCATGCATTGCGGCCTAAACACAGGTTCTGATTGGCTGGGAGGATCTGATTCCGGAAGTAAGTTTGTGCGTCGAATTTCATTTGCCGACTGAAAATCCTCCTCAAGACAATCCGCTGTTGAGATTCCAACGAAGTAAATTGTTTTCTTTTTTGTCGTAAAGCTGTTGTTTAGGAAACGAATTATACTCGTCCTGCATATTTCTGATATCAGCCAAAGGTTTGTAGCTTTTAGATGCAGTCCTCTCTGTCTAGTTTACATTATCAAGATAATTTATAAAAATCTTATTAAGAGTAGGGCCATAATAAGCTGATGATCAGGATCATTGTTACACACGACAGGACTTGCAAAACGGTGACGTAATCAACTTCCTTATGTTGCTCAAACCTGCTCTTTCTCTCTGTACACCCCAGTAGCTCTTCCGGTTAGATTGCTCTCCCATGGCTGGCAGAAGGGTGGTGGTCTTCCCCTCCTCGGCGGAGCTCGGTCCCGTGCTGGCCCAGCTGGTGACATCTCGGGCTGAGAAAGCCATCGTCGCTCATGGCAGGTTCACCCTGGGCCTCTCCGGAGGAAGCCTCGCGTCCATGCTCAGCAAAGAGCTGCTTGCTCTGCCGGTGCTGGACTGCAGCAAGTGGGTGGTCGGTTTCTGTGACGAGCGGCTGGTCGCCTTCGATGATCCCGAGAGCACCTACGGGCTGTACAAGGTATCGGTTCAGCAGGGGCGCTTCTCTTTATGTGTCCGGGTTACATGCATGTGTTGACACTGGGGTCAAATACAACCATTTGCTTCTTTTTTGCAGAGTCAGCTGTTTTCCAAGGTCAACATCCCTGACAGCGGGATCTTAACCATTGAGCCCGGTCTGCCAGTCAACGAGTGTGCAGAGGATTACACCCATAAACTGAAGGAGGTACGAACATCTATGCTGTCCTGCTCTGGCTCGAAAGTAACCAATGCATCTTTTTTTAGATTGTAATATATTGCTTCTTGTGAGCACACAGGCCTTTCCAGGTGATGACTTCCCAGTGTTTGACCTGTTGCTGCTTGGCATGGGGCCTGATGGACACACCTGTTCCCTCTTCCCAGATCACCCGCTGCTAGAGGTGAGGGCAATACTTTAGTGAGTCTGACAGACATATCCGCAACATTTGTATTGTCTGTCCGAGACCCCATCCGTCATAGTGACCCCATCTTTAATTCTTTGGCTTGGAAATTATGTTTGTTTTTTAAACCAATATGAGAGCACAGTTTTGTTTGGAATGCATGTATGTTATTTGTTTATTGAATGAACTTTGATGTACAGCGCGACTATTTTGGGAATAAATTTGGGAATATCTATCATGTTGCCACTGGTTATTCAAATTCAAAGTTCCTTCTTTAATCATACATTTAAATATCTTGTTTTTCTCGCAGCTGCCCTGTGAATCATATTGTTTTATTACATTCTGGCAGCCTTGCTAAGTAAGGTCTGGATGCATTTAGGGCTTTACTCTTCGATGTGGTGCCTGATTTTCTTGTCTAGAAGTACAATAGATTTTTTTTTTCTACTTTTCACTCATGTTGCAGGTCTGTGCGGCCTTCTCCCTCCTATTGTATTGTAGTTCACAGTCACACTATAGTCTTGGGTAATGCTTCTGTCCTTGGCCGTTTTTTTCGGCCACTGTCTACATTACACATGATGGATGATTGTGTTTGGCTTTACCCAATCTGCAGGAAACCGAGAAGATTGTGGCCCCCATCAGCGACTCTCCCAAACCACCGCCACAGCGCGTAACTATGACGTTTCCAGTGGTGAACTCCGCCCACTGTGTGGCTTTTGTATCAACGGGAGGAAGCAAAGCGCCCATTTTGAAGGTAAGATGCATGTATGTCGTTTACTGAATGCATTTCACTTAAAATATCTTAAAAACGTTCCTGTTTCAAGGGCCAGATGTATTATTTCAGACGGGGGCATGTTTAGAGACAAAAACCCAAAGGATATGCGAAAAAATCTATGCATAAAATGACAGAAATCCACCTGCTCTGTAGGTTGAATTATATGACTCCACAGTTAGTGATACGATGTTCAGGATTACAAATAAACCAAAAAAGAAACAAGTTTTATAACCCAGTAGAAATATGGTTGTACAACAGTGTTACGTAACAATGCTTTTGTTATTATAACACGGTGAGTATTTGTTTTTTACAGGAAGTGCTGGAGGGCAGACAGGGTCCGGCGCTTCCAGCGGCCCGTGTTGTCCCGACCAGCGGCGAGCTGCTCTGGCTTGTCGACAACCCTGCTGCTGCTTCCTTAACTATCCAGGTAGAGAGGTTAGGATCAGGGGCCAAACTCTAGAGCGTCCCGCCCCGTCTGCCAAACGAAGGCTGGAAGTCAACACTGCCGTGAAAACCTAATTGAAGAAACTGGATAATAGTGCAGAACATTCCTACTTTCTGATAAAGGGGTAATTGTTTTCCGTAGGTGAGATGGTAAGCTAGGGAGAGGAACAAGAAAGGTATTGTGGGTGCTTTTTTGATAATTGTTCGTACATGTCTGGTGTGGTTAAGCTTCATTCAAGGCCCACTCTACTCAAAAAGCTTATTATTTATTTAGTTGGACAGTTACTGTACAGAATAAAGTACAATTTAACATTAAAAGTCAGTCATGATCCAAATTTTTCAGTGAACAAAAGTGTGATAAGAAAAGTTGAAAACTGCAGCAAACTCTGAGAATAAAGGATATTAAATCAATACACTGGAAAACCATTTTATTCCGAGTTGTCTCCGAACAATTTATAAAACATGCAATAAAGTATCAGCGTTAACTCAACACTCTTGGGTGCATCTTACAACCATCTATAACACTTTTATTTCTTGGCAATTACAAAAAATAAACAGCGAACTGAACATGTTGCCTCCCCGTGTCTGCCGTGCAGTCCTCCTCCCGGGTCCGTCCCCTTTAAGCACCACATCCCGCCCCTTTAACGCACAACTTTGCGGCGTTGTCACATCAGTTGCGCTGCACAGATTTTTCGCCCTCATGTGAAGAGACAACTTGCCCCCGCTGCCGCCGACTCTTCACCAGCCGCACAGCTAGACTTAAAAAAAAAAAATAATAAAAAAAAAAAAATTAACCGCCATACATTTGTTAATTTGGCCGCCGCCATGGCCGGACTCGCCCGCCTCCCCGCCGCCCTGCTCGCCCTGCTGCTGTCCGGCTGCTGCGCTCCCGCTCGCGCGTACTTCGCGGAGGAGCGCTGGAGCCCCGAGTCCCCGCTGCTCGCGCCCCGCGTCTTCCTCGCACTCGTCTGCAGGAACGCCGAGCACTCGCTGCCCTACTTCCTCGGCACCGTCGAGCGCCTCAACTACCCCAAGGAGCGAATGGCTCTGTGGTAAGTGGACGCCGGGGACATGGCGGGCTAAGTAGACGCGGCTAAAACGGCAACTTTGACGTCCTTGTCGATTGAGATTAGAATAACTTTTTTTTTTTTTTTTCAAAATGGGGTGGACCTGCAGGAGCATGCCGGGGTACTAACGGGCACAACGCTGCGTTGCGGTTTTTAAAAAAAGTGTCAAAATCCTTCACGAGCAGGAAAACAGCGTGACGTCGGCCCGAGCATCGGCGTTTAAAACAACCTTTTTTGGCACCTCTGGTTGTGCAGAGGTGAGCACATCTGTCCACTGCGCTCATCGGAGGGGCCATCTGTATACGTGGAGGGGAGGGGACTGATCTGGCCGCGAGGGGAGCCGGGTGATTTCACACAAGTCAGATTGTCGCACTGTTGTGTCTGGGCTGTCCATTAACACACACACAAACACACACACTCTTTTAGGCGGCCTCTAGATGTCTTCTCCTCGGGTCCAGATCACCTGCCTTTTCCCCAGTTCGGCCTCTTTTGCGAGTGTATTGATTGACGGCACGATCCTCCCACACGATCAGTGACCACACGAATTTCACAGCCCACAGATCTCCATCCTATCTTCCAGCACTAAATAAACACAAATGTAACTAATCACTAACTTAACTGCATTCCGTTTCATCTCACTTTGCCTAATTCACGTCCATCTTTTATAAATGGCTGTCGGGAGGAGCCTGAACTGGGACAATTTGCCTGTTTAGCTTCGTGCAGGACGAGGCGTCCTGTGCTATTCACTTCATGTGCTACGTACTGATTAAGGACAGCAAAACCCACTTTCTGTCATGCTGTGTTGCGGCCTCCTTGACATGTTTTCTGTCCACGGTTTTCCATGGGTGCCGCGCCTGCAAATTAGCCTTCAAAGGCAATTTTCTTGTGGGGAGTACAATTGGCTTTTATGGACCATTAAGCCCCTGTCTACCAGGCTCAAGCAAAGTTGGGGGAAGTGAAAGGGAGGTGTTTCTCACGTAATGACAACATGCTCCAACAGCCCACCCGTGCTTACACCCTGCAGCCCGGAGCAGTTTGCATGACAGCCTTCAGGGCTCAGAGAGGTATGCTCTTCCCCCACCAACCCCCCACCTTATTTTGGGGTTTTGTATCAGGGGGAAAAGTCATATTGCTTTTTTGTTTCGGTGATCGGAGTGTAAACCGGGTTTAAGGGAAGGACAGATTTCCTTTGAAACGTCGTGCTGTGTGCATTGAGCGACATCTGTGAAATGTAAACAGCTGTGAGATGTTGTAAACACCTACAGGCTGTATGCTTTCTGCTAAAGCATTTTGCAGCTGCTCGTAAAAATGCCAAATCCTCCCGATCCAAACCGGCTAAAGTGTCATTTAAATCTTTGGCGTCTGCAAATCTGGTCTGAAACAGCAATGTCTGTGAAACGCTACTCGTCGCATTGAAACCAACAAAGGTACATTCTTTTAACAAATATTTATTTTAGCTAAACATGAGGCGGGGACAGTCGGTGTAATTCAAATCATTCAAAGTTTGCGAATTTTGTCAAATGCACGGCAGCAGTGACGGGTGGAATGGTTTAGCAGGGAGCTGATGTGCTCTCACGTATCCTCGTGTAGTCTGACAGCAGAACCCGGCTTGGCTGTCGTCCCTCCGAGCATATTGCTGACTCTCCGGCGAAAAGGAAAATCTGCACTGCTGACTGTCGAACTGAAGAATGGAAGGCAGCGGATGTGGTTTTCCAGCATTAATCCTCTCTCTTCATGAAGAGATCCAGATTTACATGTGGTTTGATTCCATTTCCACGCAGGATGAGATTCAGCATGCAAGTTGCCCAATTTGTGAACAGTTGTTTTGCACGTGGCTTCAGCCATTTCTAATTCCATTTCCTTCTATTTTGAGCTATTGCAGACATTTTTATTTCTGTGAGGCTGATTATTCAGTATTCTATGGTTCATTATATTCCCATTGTAACTTAGACGTCCAGTCGGTGTTTTGTGATGTTGGTATCAGTAACACTTGTGTCAGTTCCCACTGCTGCAGACAATACGCTCACACAAAGTGAACACTGGGCTTTTGTTATCTGAGACACGGCGTTGATTTTCAACTCGGTTGATCCAGTTTGGCCGACGTCACTGGCTTCCCTTGTTGATAATGTTCAACTCCTTCTGATGTTTAAGCAATTGTAATCATTAACACTTGCTGTTTATTGACAGGGTGGCGACGGATCATAACCAGGACAACACCACAGCCATTCTGCGGGACTGGCTTGTCAAGATGCAGAGCCTGTACCATAATGTGGAGTGGAGGCCAAAAGAGGAACCACAGTCGGTTACTTACTAGAGTTTGCGGTGAAGCGTTGTGTTGCTAAAACTCTAAACACAGTCTGATCACTATCCGAATATCTCCCGTAGACATTATCGGAACGAAGAGGGTCCGAAGCAATGGACCGACCTCCGTTATGAGCACGTTATGAAGCTGCGTCAAGTAGCAATGGATTCAGCTCGCGAGATGTGGGCGGACTACTTCATGGTAGGTCGGCTAAACTACTCTTTACTGGCACGAGAGAAAGCACGATGACAATGAAAGATATCCCCCCCCTCCCCCCCCCCCAAAAAAAAATCGTTATCCTTTGATAATAGCTGCAGGATAAGTAGAGATAAGGCAAAAGCAGCTACATAGTGGTTATTCAAAAATGCATCTTTGGAGGAATCAACCTCTTTAGGCATTGGTAAGGGTGCTGAAAATGGACCCAGTTCTATGGTTAAAGGGTATTTGGTCTGGTTAATTTTGGATCTTTACACCATCGTGACACCAAGCTTGATACTATTTAAAAATCCAGCATTTATATTCCACAGCCCACATTGTCGAGCTTTAGTGGGGTATAATTTCGAAGCAAAGTGCAAGCAGAGTTGCAATCATTCTGTGCCGCACATTTTGCAAACTCTCCTGGCCTTCACCCTTCAAAACCTAAATGAAACACATTGGTTAACCATCTCAGTTTCAGTGCTCCATCTAACCCTCGCGTCCGGCTCAGCATTTCTTTTGAAGAGTCCCTATATGTTGCGCTCTTCTTTGACTATCCTATGTAGTTGGCGGACTGCGATAACCTCCTCACCAACCCCGATGTGCTCTGGAAGCTCATGCAAGAGAACAAGACCATCGTCGCACCAATGCTTGAATCCCGTGCAGCCTATTCTAACTTCTGGTGTGGAATGACCTCTCAGGTATTGTGCTGCGGAATCGGTGTACACGCTGGTGTATGAAGGTTTTTCAACACGTTTCAATATTGAATGCTCTTGAATCCGTCTTCAGGGTTACTATAAGCGCACTCCTGCCTACATACCCATAAGAAAGCAGATCCGTAAGGGCTGTTTTGCAGTTCCCATGGTCCACTCCACTTTCCTGATAGACCTCAGGAAAGAGGCGTCCAGGCAGCTGGCCTTTCACCCGCCACACCCAGAATACAGCTGGGCCTTTGATGACATCATTGTGTTTGCGTTCTCTGCCCGGATGGCAGGTATATTAGAATGAAATGCTTAAATTCTCTACAGCCTTTACAACCTAAATAGTGTGACTTCCATATTGAAACATCTGACCCCTCTTCTGTCTACAGATGTTCAAATGTTTGTATGTAACAAAGAGACCTATGGTTACTTCCCTGTGCCGCTGCGATCCCACAATACTTTGCAAGATGAAGCCGACAGCTTCTTGCACTCCTTGCTGGATGTTAATGGTAAGTAGCTTGCATTCAAACATGTGACTTTCTTAAGTCATAAGTTTGAAGCCTGCATTCTACTTCCTACTCTTTCACCTAATGACAACTATCAGCACGGGGTCCTATATATCATTTACATATTTTTTGCATCCATCTTCTTCCGCTTTATAGTGCGAAATCCCCCAGTGATGCCTTCCAAATACATACGTGTACCTAGAAAACAACCTGACAAGCTGGGCTTTGATGAGGTGAGTATCCAGTGATGTGAAAATGGATGCTGCAAAAATGTCCGTCTATCCACTTGTGCGCTCCTGAAATCTGTCATTTCTATCGACTTGGCTCAGCTGTTGTCTTCTCGCAGGTGTTCATGATAAACCTGCAGAGGCGGACCGACCGCAGAGAACGTATGATGAGGGCTTTGTACCACCAGGGGATCGAGTGCAAGGTCATTGCAGCTGTAGATGGAAAGTACGTTTGCTTCGTTTAATCGTTCCTTCATGTAGTACCCGGCGATCAAATCTGCCCTTTTTTATTCACCGTTGGGTCAAATTTGTTCTTTTGCTCCATTTCAGAGCAACAAACATCAGTGAAATTCATGCAATGGGCATCCACATGCTCCCTGGATATAACGACCCCTATCATGGTCGCCCACTGACAAAGGGAGAGCTGGGATGCTTCCTTTCCCACTATAACGTCTGGAAAGAGGTGACCCCCCCCCCTCCCTCAAAAGCCAGGCGTTTGAGCGTTTGTGAAGCACAGATAAATCTGATAAATCTGTGTCTGGCCGTAGGTTGCGGAGCGACGCCTGCACACCTCCCTCGTGATCGAAGACGACCTGCGCTTTGAGATCTTCTTCAAGCGACGCTTGATGAACTTGATGAGGGAGGTGGAGGATGAAGGACTGGACTGGGATCTCATGTGAGCTCACGCTGCCTGCAAAAGTCCTTGATAGTTAAAGTTTGCAAGTGGCTCTCACTCCACCGTTCTATTTCTTTCTCTACAGTTATATTGGTCGCAAGAGAATGCAAGTGGATCACCCGGAGAAAGCCGTGCCTAATATACACAGCCTAGTGGAGGCCGACTATTCGTATTGGACACTCGGCTATATGATCTCGTTACAAGGTGCGGAGAAGCTTCTGAAAGCAGAGCCACTTAAAAGGGTTTTGCCAGTGGACGAGTTTCTTCCCATCATGTACAATAAGCACCCTGTGTAAGTGGACCCTTCCCAGTCGCACTCCCAGCATGAATATCTGCTCAGGATTTTTGCTGTTTTTTTGTTTTTTGATTTTACCCTCTCACCCACAGGCCCGCTTACATGGAGCAGTTTGAAACCAGGGACCTGAAGGCTTTTTCAGCCGAGCCTCTTCTTGTGTATCCAACTCACTACACGGGCGACCAGGGCTACATCAGCGACACTGAGACGTCCACGGTGTGGGACAACGACAAGGTCCGCACCGACTGGGACAGAGCGCGCTCAGGAAAGACCGGTGAGCAGGCCGAGATCAGCACCGAAGCCCAGAACTCGGATGTGCTGCAGTCGGCGTTGGACAGTACAGCACGGGACGAGCTATGAGAGGAACTGAAGGAGAGCCACACAATATTTAACAAACCACCTTATTATTAGTTTTTTTCTTTTTTTAATCATGTCACACCTTCAGTACTTTTGATTTTGCATCACAGGATGGATGTGACATCAGAGCTTGTAGAAAGATTGAGTTCAGCCACATGTGACATGTAAAAAGGGAACAGGTGGGTCTTGAGTTGTTGTGTTATCTGTTTGTAGTTTTTACTTTATAGAGGCACTAGACTTGCCCCTTTGAGTGGCATTTGCAGTACCCAACTACTGTCTGTCATACAGAAATCATTATATTAGCAAAGAATGCAATTGGACTGTGACACCAGTCATCGTGCATTTCATTTTGTGATGGGAGTTTATACTGTGAAATGCATTTTCTTTTTAAATATCTCAAGATGACATATGCAAATGTAAGGCTTTGCAGACATTCATGTCTGAAATCAAACCTTAATCATTCTACATTTCCAAGTCCAAGAAGAGAAACATATGCATTTATTTTTCTTTAATATTTAGGTGTTTGCATATTGCTTGGTTTTTGAATAATCATTAGCCGACGCTTGCAGTAGAGCTTTACCAAAGCACCAAAGCACAAATACCAGTTGCATCCAACTGCGGGTTAGATATTTACAGACTGCTGTATATGTACCAACGCTTCTCATTGTTTCAGTGTCTTTAGTTGCCACTTTGGGATTGTTTCCAGACTGATGCACCCAACCCGCTGTTGACATGTTGACATGGTTGTAGAAGGGAGAAACCAACGTTCACGCCTCAAACTGGCGTGGGAGTACCACGGTTATTAATGCCCCTTAAGGTCCCTCAAAATGAACCCACCTGACCACATACAAACACCACCCCCTAATCATTTGCAGTTCAGCCTGAATCTGAGCAAATTGAATGGGTAAGACCTGATAAAAGGCCGCTGAAAAAAAGAATATGAAAACCATAAACTCTATTATCACATATTGTTACATTTTTTAGATGATTATTCTGCTGCAGGTTTGTCTCACATGTTTTAACATTTAATCTTCCCACCAAGTCGGTTTTCAAAGTATTAATAAGGTACGTTCAGACATGGATCTTGCACAAAAAATGATAAATAAAAATAAAATGTTGAATTTGTGATTACCTACTGTGATATTGCATATTAGCATGCTGGTGTAACTAAGTCTTTCTCTTTTAAGGTGAATGCAGCTTGATCTTGATATTTCTGTAGCCAGTTACAAAATAACTGACAAGACCTGATTGCCATCTTCACATATAACCTTTGTCTTTCGAATGAATTTGTCACAGATCATTCTGATGTGTTATAAGAAACAGGTTTATTAGTTTCGATGGAAAGCTTCTGATACAGTTCAGTTTATTGAGACCTCTTTTACACCTCGTGTTCTGAGCTGCATGTGGATCTCTCAAAGCGATTGTGAGACATTTATCGCAGTTATAACTAATTAATTAGTGTGAGCTGCACTTGTTTTAACTGTAGTAACCCTCAAGGTGTCATCGTTTTACTGACAGTTCGTTAACTGAAGCTGTGAAGGCAAGAGAGGACAAAGCAATACGGAACAATTCAGTTGTAAAGTGCGAGCCCTTCTCTTTAAGTGAAGAGAAGTTGATTTTATTATGTATTCCAAAGTACAGATTAGGAATGAGCTGATAACTTAACCATGTGAAGGTGGAATGTCTGCACCGAATGTCACGTATCCGTAACTCGTCAATTCATACGTGACATGCAACCCGTTTGCTCTCTAACCTCCACTGAGGCCGTATTTTCTCTTTCCAAAGCGCCCGTTGTCATTATGTGTGCAGTGATAGCGTAGGTGGGGCTTAGAAGTGACAGAAAGATACACTTCCTCTTCCCATGGTGGTGAAAAAGGTTGGCCAACCTCCACTCTGCCAGAGGAAGACCGTTTGAAACGGCGACAAGCGCAGAGCTGTGTGTGTGTGTGTGTGTGTAGACATTGCACTGCAGATATTTCCGCCTCCTCTCCCCTCCCCTCCCCCCTTCAACCGAACTCTTCCACATTGTGCATTAGAGTGTGACCTTAAGTGCATATGATGTGTGAGTCGTGTTGGTAGGGTCCAGCTCCCGTGGGTTACTCTGTAGAAATGGAAGAAGATCAGGTGCCGAACAAGGATTTCTCTCAAGACACAGGTAAATACCAAGAATGCGATCTCGTTCTTGTTTCAGCGGAAGTGAGGGCTCTCGCTTCATTGTATAGGATGTGTTACCCATCAAGCTAGATGTTCTAAGGAATACGTTTATAAAATATTCTCTTGCTCCGCGTTGACTTGAAATTTAGCTGACATGGCTGTTGTGCCGTTAGGACCCGGGTGTTGTGTGTTGGTGTATGCACAATGTTCCTGGATGTGCCTTTGTTAATTGTGTAGCATCCTCCTTGTCAAAGCGGTGCAGGTGCTCTCTTGACTCCTTTCTTCTGTGTGACTTCTGTATTTGTTTTCAACAAGATACGGCAGTCTTTAATCTTTGCAATAAAAATAATGGAATACTCACTGGAGAACAGCGAGACTGTGGAGACGTGCCTACAAAAATCAGGAACTTTTTAGAATGGAACTTTAATTTTGGTTGAAGTTAGATTGAATGAATTAATTGAAATACATTGAAGAGTTTTTCTCTGATAAGAAGAATTTGAATCTGTGTTTTTTTCACTCTATCACTGAAACAAGGCACGTTCTACCACATTACCTAGCACGATACAGAAATTGCAAGCAGGATGTGGTTGTTAAAATGGAGACGTCTGACCGAGCAAGACGCCTTTTTCGCATTGGTTTCTTTTGTTGTAAATCACCGGTTTTAACTTTTTAGTTTGAAAGGTGAAACATCAGTTAAATAGTACAAGTACAAAACGTACTACGTCGTTCCTCTGCATATTTTAGTTCATATTCAATTCAAGAACATTTTCTTTCTCGGAAATGCAGAGGAAATGCTCAATATAACTCCAGGAGAGGAACTATCATTTTCTAACTTAATATCTTCCTTTTTTTCACAATCCGAATGCATGTCTGTCTGTCACAGTATATTATTGAACGTTTAGCCGATGCCTTTTATTGAGCAGCCGTGAAGTAGTGCAGAGGACAACAATGTGTACCTCAATAACCACATCAGTAACATTTCAAGGAACCAGCAGAAAGGAGGTCAGAGTCAAGTGTCTCATTGCTCATTACAACATACCTGCTGTATATCTTTGTTTTGTTGCATTGTAAAGAAAATAAAACATCATAGGGGGATCTGCAGTCAAATGCAAAACTTTTATTTGTTCATAATGATCTTTTAAGGCTGTTTGATCTTAAATTTCTCACACTGAACCGTGTTGTTTCTTCATTGATCTAAATCTATCCGATTTGTCATTCCAGATTTGAAGAAGGTGCATCACAAATCTGAAACCAAGCGATACAGCGAGATCTTCAGAGACTTTGATAATCTCGATTTATCTTTCATTTCTTCGTAAGTGTTATTCATTTCCAAATGGACATTTTACTATCAGGTTTTTTGCCTTCAGCTTGCTCGCTTTGATCATAAAACTAAGGCGCAAAATGAGGGGTCATGCGAAGATGCTGTGAGCTTGGCTGGTCATAGGAAACCATACAGGATGAAACTGATCCATTTGTCATTACAAGCAACCATTATTATCTTCTGCTTCGGCACCGTATGTCATGTTTATCTAAAATATAATTTTTGTGACAACCACTGCAACCTTTTATAACACATCCGACCAGAGCTCATCGTCATTGCTGTGAAGTGTCATTGACTTCCAAAGTAGAAGTGCAGTAAAATAACATTTTATTAGCACTTCCGACAGCACTTACTTATAGCACTTTTAGTTTGGCTTCCTTGAAGAAATTGTACTTACTCGATTCTTGTTGTGTCTTTGGATAAAAGGGTCAGCTGAATGAAGAATGTAAATGTAAAATAAATTGGCGAAAGCGTGTCGATAAATGTACCTTAAAATGTACATAAGGCCATTGCTTGCCTCTTAAGTGTTTGCATGTTGTATGTGCCTTAACGAACCCTGAGCGTTTTTTAGGTCTTTCTTATAAAACACAAGCAAAACCTCATCTTTACATTCAGTACAGGGGAGTCTCTACTGGCCGACTTTGACTCGCCGTCTATCACAGAGTCCATCTGTACAGGAAGCGGAGATCTCACAGAGCAGCTGGATGTGTCTGTAAGGAATCAATATTTTAAAATTAACGCAAGAAATACTTATGTTTGCAGCTTGTATTGTTTGTCTTGTTGACTTTGCTGATCACACCAGTTCTCTTTTACGTGACCACAAAGAGGCTTTTTTAAATTGTTTATCTCAACAGATCAGTGGTGAGGCCAATGACGCAGATGGAAACCAACCAGGTAGGATTTGTGTGACAGTGAGAAGGAATGAAAAAAGTTTGCAGTTCTTACAGAGGTTACTACGCTGAATGTCACAATCCGTCCGTGAATTAGAGAGTTGTTGTTGTTGTTGTTGTGGTTATGGTCACTGGTTTAGTTACAAGTTTATCTCAACAGCAGATTATTGGTGATGATGTCAGTTGTGATCTCAGTTCAGATTGTTAATTGTTTTCAAAAAATGAGCACGGTGTTGTAATTTCCCGGCTGTAACAAGATTAGGATAAAGGGACGGGATTAAAGCAGGAGACATCTGCTCTCAGTTTGCACTTCAAACCAAGCAGAAGACAGAGAGGTCTCCCTAAAGAATGAGGTGTCTATGCTGAGCGGGCTACTGCAGTTGAAACAGAGACCAGAATGTTACTGCCCAAAGGCGCAAAGTACATGCCACAGAGATTAGGATTGGCAGAGACATATGTTGTTCAAAAATAAAAATATTCTCATTTTTTTCCGCTGCATGTGTTTCCATTGGTTGTGCTCGGTCACACACCAGGAGGTAAACGTCACTGGATGCTCCTCTAAAGCGTGTCAGTAGTCAGTAGGAAAATCTGGACCTGGCAAGGATAATCCCCAATCCACACGCAGGAGGCTATGGCCGAGGAGCAGCACAGAATCTGCCCGGGGGCCGATTTCTGGAGGTTCTCAGAGCTTCTCCTTAAACAAAACACAGGGAGGAAAGGCTAAGAGAGGTCAACCTTGACAAACGTTCTGCCCGCATATCCACCATTACACCATCTGGAATTGCCCGTTCTTTCTTGTGGATTTTGCTTGAAGATAGGGGGGGGAAGATCACCGCTTGGATTTGTATTCCTCTCGAACTGGATTTGCCATCCGTGCAAAAGGGAAGACCAGAATTAAATATGCATGTCTGAGTGGGGAACTTGAGGGAGAAGTAGTCGCAGTCCTCCTCGCATGCCTGGCATTGCGTGTTTTCGCACTTTAAAACAAGGCTGAATACTTCGAATCGCAATGTCGTGGGTGAGAAGAAGTTCCTGAGCTGCTTCTGTTGCCCTGACCTTTGGCAACAAGGGAAAATGAAGATGTGTTTCAAAGGAGTTTGACATTGTCTTGCAAAATGTTGTAAAGTGGATCACGGGAGCGAAGAGAAGTTGTGTGGGGCAAGAGACCATGTGATTGCCATGCATAGATGCGTCCGCGTCTCGGAAGAAGAACCACAGTGGTTGTCACTTATAGACGCCCTGCCTGACCACAGTAGAGCTGTGACACGACGGCCGCCGACTGGTGCTGAGGGGTGTCGGTGACGCTGCTCTCGTTGCTCGGCTTTGTGGGGCCAGGTGTGAGCAGGAGGGGCCAGGCAGAGAGAGGTAGAGGGCAGAGCGGGGGGGGGGGGGGGGAGTTATTTAGCTAAAGCTGTTGGTCTCTGCTTTATAGTAACCTTCCACTCTCAGGTCACTTCCTATGTGTCACGCTTAACCTGCCGAAACCTACTGGAAACCACAGGACCTGCACAGTGAGGGTGCCGCTGTCTCCGGCCATATACGGTCTTTGTTTCCTGTTTTGGGTTTGTGTATACGTTTTAGATAGTTGTCTTTTTGCATGCGATAGTCTGGGAGAGAGTTTCACTTCCATGGACTGGGATTTGTTTGAGGCCCGAGGCTGGACTCGCTGCAGTGTGTGACCCAATGGACGCTGTGGGATTCCTGGGTCCAGCTCCAAGTGCGCCGAGCCTGAAGTGATGCTGATGTACTCCCTCTCAGCCCAGGAAGCAGACCTAGCCCTTTGTCGGTGTGATGATGGAGTGGAGACGGCACTGCAGTACACCAAGATGTGGTGCCGCTACGCTAAAGACCTCCTGGGGTGGTTGGAAAAGAGAATCAGCTTGGGTAAGTGCACATGCTGCTGAAGAAAGGAAACGGCAGCGTGACGTGCAAATTATTGTCTTAACAAATATCTGCTGTACCTATCGAGGCATCTCTGTCTATTTGTTTTGATTTGCAAGTACCTGAAAGCGTAAGAAGAAGAGCTTATTGTGTTGTATTTTTAACTTTAATTAGCATCAGTAGTAATGCCTCAAGACATTCAGATATTCCAAGAAAGGTCAGATATATATAGACCTTAAGACAGCAGTCAGCAGGGCGCGGCAAGGAACAGCCTTTCTTTTTACCATCCATTAATAAAGAACCAATACTTATTGCTTTTGAAAGGCTTGATTTGTCTGGTAAAACACCTTGTTTTAACCTGCAATAACATGGTCTGTTTGTATTAGTTCACGCTGTGAGGGCATCTACGGATGGGGCAGTGACCTCGTTGAACTACACACTGTACACACAGAGAGAGAGAAAGGATTAGAGGGCAGATTAGCAGGGCAGGGTAATAAAGGAAACGCGGTGCATTTGGAGTCCGTAGACACCGATTATCCTCGTATCAGCCTGAGCACACTGAGATGCTCAGCATGGACGTCTATTGGTATTCAGTGTCCACTGATGCGCTCTGTCTTGTGAGTAGTGTAAGCTTATAAAAAATCTTTCTTTTGTTTGTTGACAGAACAAGAATTTGCAAAGAATGTAGTCAAGGCAGCAGAAGGAGCCAAAGCCAATGTGGGGCAGCAGGTACAGTTTTGTTTTTGTGTTATCAGCTTGACCAGAACGGGTTAATGCTGCTATGAGAAAGCTGTCTGAAATGGTTCTTGCCTTTCTAGGAGATGATGCCCCTGCAGTGCATCTACACTATGGCGCTGGAGCAAGACATCAAGAACAGTTTGTCGGCTAAAAAGACATCAGAGCTGCTACAGAACCGCTGTCATCAAGTATGGAAGTCCAGACACATCCAAAAAAGTTTGAGTCATAGCAAATTCTCTGTCCTTTAGAGGAGGTTTATGTAGCCGTGACTTTGTGTTTTTAATTCAAAATCTCTGTCCCAAAGGCCTTGGCTGCCAAGAAGAATGAGATTGACAAGTGGCGCAGAGAATTTAAGGAGCAGTGGGCAAGAGAGCAAAGGAAGATGGTAAGTTTATTACACCGTCAAAACTAATTTATCCAATTAAAAAAAAATCCAACGGCCTGGATGCCTGAACGAGCATCTGAAGCAAACATATTTCCCTCTGCGAGAAAATAAATCAAGTCAATTATGAGCTTGTTGATTTCCACTTGAAAGATATTAACTGCACATGGCTCACACCAATAAAACCAACATTTTCTTCCCCTCCGTGTGTCCACCCCCTCGCGGGTTTTCAGAACGACGCAGTCACGTTGTTGAAAAAGGCTCGTCACCAGTACTACCAGCGCTGTGACGAGCTGGAAAAGGCCAAAGCTGTCTCTGCTAAAGCTGTAGATGACACAACCGGAATGAAAACACTGGATAAGAGGCGGAAGTCCAAGGATGAAGCCCAGTCTAAGGTGAACGTCTCTTTAATGCTCTACATCACTATAACACGTATACAGTTTGAGTACATTTTACCACAGAAAGAGAATATATATTTCTAAATGGATATTGTAATTCAGCTTGTTTATTGTTATTAACGTTTAGCAATACAAATGAAGAAATATGATGAAAAATTGTGGACATTTATAAACTATCAGGTCTTCTCTCTGTCCCCTGCAGGTGGCGGAGGCACAGTTTCTGTACAAACAGTGTGTTACTGACGTGAAAACCCACCAGGATGATTTAGTAAAGGTCAAAGAGAAAATTATTGCCCACATTCGTAAGCTCATCTGTCAGGGAGACACTGTGCTCAAGGAGGTTGGTATAAAAATTGTGAAAACTATACATTTGTTTTGCTGTCAACTTGTTTCTTTATTGCATGTACTGACTGCAGCATTTGCTACATGTAAATAGTTAATTGTGGCCGTGGTACAAACATGTAGCGGTAATGTCTTGCATTTATTTTGGTCACAAAGTGTTTGGTCACAAAACGTTTACTCAACACCAGTGTGAAACGGGACATTTATTAAATGCTTGCAAGAGCAGAGTTGACACACACATACTAGACATGCATCGAGGCTCCTCAAAGGATTCTTCCTTTGGCTTCAAGTTATATAGTGTATATTTGCCTCTAGAATGGAATAAAACAAAGCAAACAACTGTTGTAGACTTTCTACTCATCAGTCATGTTTCACTGTGTTAAAATCAGCAGTGGTGAAGATTCTAAAGGAGATCTCTGATGTTATTTATTACACTCATGCAACTATTTGTTTGATTAATCTAACATGTCTCCCCTCTCTATCAGGCCACAGTCAACATGTTTTACTTCCAGCGGCAGCAGACGGAGTCTGTCCCCCTCGGCTATCACAACCTGGAGTCAACTTGCAGGTCCATGGAGCCCGGCGAGCAATACATGCTCTTCGTCCTCAGCAAGCGTCGCCCTGAGCAACCGCTCCAAGTCTTCACCTTCCAGGAGTACGTTCGTCCGTCCAAAGGGTATGCCCATCTCACCCATGACTGTGCCTGCTGTTACTTTGGCTGTGTTTAGCGGTTTAATACAATACTAAAGTAAGTCTTTACAATTCAAATTGTGGAAAAGCAGGAAGGAATGCTTCAAATCTTCCGGGTGTACTCTTTATTCATTCAAATTATTGCCACAACCCTTTTTCTTTTTAAGGAACAAGCGAAAAACCAGCTACGCTCTCAGCTCTCTGCAGGACTCCGTACCGTTGACAGACGATAACCCTTCCAGACGAAACAGCGATGGCAGTGAGGAATCCCCCTGATTAAACTATAATTAGATCAATTATACCCTTTAACTAATGCTTTTTGTTGTGTTTTGCTGATCTCCAGGAAGAACAGGGCACAGTGACAGTGAGAGTTTCGGAGGCAGTTTGGAGTCTCTGTCCAGCCCTGGTAAGCACAACCCTGCGTTTGTTTCTGTAACTTTCATTGCATACGAAAACATTTCAATGATATGCGTATTTTCCTTCCTCTCCACTGGGTCTCTGCTCTACGATCAATGCATGAATCAAGCTCACACTAATAGGAGGCTGCCGAAAACAGCATCCACTTTGACGGTGTCGTCGGACGACATGGACGAACGGGACGTGCCGTCAGAATCGGGTTTGTTATTTGCCTTTTTTATAAACTCTATAACCGCTATCCATCCCGTGGGAATTATTATCGTTATTACCTTCAACCTCTACCCACAGAATACATTGATTGTCCGCCGGTCAAAGTAAGGACTCTTTCCCAAGCCGCGTTGACACACCGACTGAAGAAGATGAAGAGCAAGATGGTCAAATGCAAGCAGTGTGAAAACTATATTGTTGTCCATGGCGTCGAATGTGAGGAGGTATGAAACGGGAGACATTCACACCCTGTTTTAAGAAAAACAGCTTGAGCGGTGCTGAGCGAGGTTCTCACGGCCCTCTGTGACGTTCCTCTCCCCCCCCCCCCTCCGACCTTTTAGTGCGGGATGGCTTTGCACAGGAAGTGCATGGAGGTTTGTCAGCAAGAGTGCGAGCAGAGGAAGGGGACGGTGTTCGGAGTGGACCTCTCTCTGCTGTCTGGTGACGGTGTGCCCTTTGTGGTGCTGCTCTGCACGTCGGAGATTGAGAGCCGAGCGCTGTCGGTCCAGGTATCAATTGCCATCGAGACGCCCTGCAGTATTGGAAAAAAAGACAAGTGTTAGTTGCGGTTCGATAGCAGTTTTTTGCCCTTGTCTTTCTCCGAGGGGGTGTATCGTGTCAGTGGGTCCAAGCCCCGCATCCAGAAGCTCTGCCAGGCCTTTGAGATTCAAAAGGAGCAGGTGGATCTCTCTGACATTTCCCCGCATGACATCGCCTCCATCCTTAAGCAATTCTTCAAGGAGGTACGGGAGCCATCGCCGCGTGAACGTGACTCAATGAAAGATTGTTGGCGTCGTAGCTTTCCTCGCTAATCTCAGCGATTAACGTGTCTATTCCTCGCTCTCTTCCAGCTCCCGGAGCCCTTACTAACCTTTGACCTGTACAATGATTTCATAACGGTGGGAAAGAACATTCAGCACACGAATGAAAGTGAGCCAACGCCAGACACTAACGAGACGATGGACATCGTTGTGGGCCTGCAGAAGCTACTACAGAGACTCCCTCCACATTGCTACAGCACTCTGCAGCACATGATGTCTCACCTGCAGAGGTGAGCATGCAGCAGGGCCACAGATCTACCCGCTAGATGGTTTGAGTATTTTCATGAAGCTTGAATGCGTCTGCTCTCTGTCTTCGCACAGAGTTTCAGAGAACCTCGAGAACAAGATGTCCCAGAGCAATTTGGGTATTGTGTTTGGGCCGACGCTACTGCGCCCTCTCGTGTCTACGGACATGTCAATGCTGGCCCTGCTGGAAACAAGTTACCAGGCAGTAGTCGTTGAGTTCCTTATCACGCACCATGACAAGCTTTTTGGCCTTCATCGGAAACCCAGTCCCCCTCCTCTCCCGGCCCCCGCTGAACCTTTGCCCGACACCCCTCCCAGAGCTTCCTGTGCCCTTGATGGGGAAGTTTACGCCATCTCTGAAGACGAAACCTCCTCCAGAGAGCGGCCGCGCTCATTAGACGTGAGTACTGCAGACACGGAACAGCACACAGCACAGACGTGTTCGCTGCTGTATTTGAGTGTGCGCTATTTTTTACCAGCCTCATAAATGTAAACTCTGTAAATAGTAACATTATACTGCTTCTGCAGTTTTATATCAAAAGCAGTTGATGGGCAAACACATAGGTCGGAGTGAGTTTGTGCCTAAGCTACTTTCCTGAATAATTGGCTAGTTGTTTTAAGAGCCTTAGCATCTTAACCTCATGTTCATTCTGTCGGGATTAACACGCTGCTGCTGCTGCTGCTGTCAATGCATTTCTCCTGCTCTTTGGTCTCTCTAGCACTCCTATTGCTTATAAATAGAAAATTGTTTACCCCGCTGTGCACAGTGGCTCTAGCAGATGGATTAGAGACACAAAGATAGAATATGTATGTCCTTCGGGGGGGTTAAAAAGGGGAAAAATATGAAAAAGGCTGATGGATCCAGTGATAATGAATGGCCTTTCCCACTAAGGACCATTATCACATACTGTGATGTTGCAGTATTTCAGGTTAAGACGTGGTCTGTCAACACCCTGTGTCATTCCAACAGAGTCGAACAATCAAGAGAGAGTCAAGCGAAGGTTATATATCTGACAAGTCTTCATCCAATGAGGCAGTGGACCAGCTCAGCCCTGGAGCGAATCAGAGTGCAGGTATGCGGGACGTGGTCATAGAGCGGCTGTGCCTGACGAGCACACGTGAACAGGACAATGATAGAATTGGATTCCTAATGGTGATGTCTTGTGTAGTTTATAGGCGTTTGGATCTCCTTCTGAAGAGCTTGTTAACTTTATTTCTCACAGACAGGTGGTTTGTTACTCAGTTTCCACCTACGCACCAGATAAAGTGGGTTCACGGTGACTCAAGGGTGTGTTGTGGCATCCTTTATCTCACTTTATATATTTCCTCACGTTATTTTTAGACTTTTAGACTTTTTTTCATTGACGTCATCTTGATGGCCGCGCTCAGTCTGAGATTTTATCGCTTCTCGCTTTGCTCTTTCTGTGCTTTCTTCTCTGTTCTTATAACACCAAGCAGCTTCGAAGCTCCTGTTCACAACCAGAAACGTTAGTATATCAAACCCCAATAGTAGAATTTGTTACTAATTAATTAGGAAACTTGGAAATGATGACTTCTTTAAACTAGTTTCCTTATAAAGTGAATTATTATTATTATTATTATTACAGGTAAGAGGAGAAAAATCATTTTGGATTGCAGGGTGAACTTTTCCCATATAAGGCATTTCTAGATAACCAACTTAAGTTTATCTTAATCAATAAATATGTTTGCATAACTTTTATGAAGAAAACGCTTGCTCTCCCTTCTCTGCCTCAGTCCTGGCTGTGAGAGGCGCATCGAGCGGTCCTCGGGGTGAGCCGAGCGGGGGACCGGACTCCGATTCGGGGACCCAGCCGCACTACCGCTTCACCAGACAGCCTGTGAAATATCACCGGCATCACAACCCGGGAATCAGACTCTCCAACCCGGGCAGTGCGGCCGGACGGCCCGCAGCCCCAGCGGGAGCGTGTACGGGCAGTGCGGACAGCAGCCGCAGCTCTTCCCCGGAGCCTCGGACCCGCTTTGAGGACCCCCCGCGGGCCCTCCGGCTCCCCGCTGCCACGGGGAACCCGGTGGACGCGCCGAGTCCCCGAGAGGTCGTCCAGTACATGCTGGCACTGGACTCAGCCGTGGCCGAGACATCGGTGGCGTCCGGTGTCAGACCGAGCGCCGCAAAGACGATTCCCGTTGAGCGCAAAGTGACCTCACCGGCGCAGAAGATCCTGTCTGGACTGAAGCTGAGGCGCAGCCACTCGGGGAAAGACGAGCAGCTGTTCGTCTGAGGAAAGATGGAAAGCTGCGACCGGGTCACTCGAACGCGTTCACACAAAACGATGTATGTCTGCTTTATTGTGCGTAGCAACTATCAACATTTATTCTATTTGTTAATATTCAAACTCACTCATATTCACACGCACAAGTATATTCACAGAAACTGTTTTAAAAAATAGCGGATGAAAGTTCAATTACCGTTTACATTTCTAATATCCAGACCAGACGAGAGAGGCTCACATATTCATTCGTTCTAGAAAGACATTTCTCTTATATTTTAATGCAACAAGCAGGTGGTTTGAGGTGGTTAAGAGACGCAAACTAGCACATATCAAGTTTCAGCTTCTGTCCTGAACAAACTATGATGACATGCAGTTAAAAACAAAGTCTTAACATAATCTTATTGATATATGATTGATGAGATTGATATATTTTCTGTGTTTTCTGAATGTTTTATGGGTTATAGATGGGAAAGATATGCCTTCATTGGAGTCACGGTGGAGACATATGTGACCTTTGTTTGCTGCACCTTTTCTGTCTTCACACATGGGGGCAGTGTTCTTCCACTGTGGGTGGACAACATGCCAGACACAAAGAGGAAGGGCAATAAAGCCATTATTTCTAATTGCATGTTTTGAGATGTAACTTTTCCACTTTCTACATCGGGGCTTTTTCATCCTCGGGCCTGTTTCAGTTTAGAGTATAATGCCACTGAAAGCAAAGCAAACTGTTCCGATGTCTAGATGTCTTCAATTGTCTTTTTACGTTTTTCATCATACTTCACCAGAATCGGGCGTTTTATGCACAAAATAAAGCATTTTCGTTCTCTACATGGAGAGATGAACGTCTCATTGGGCATCAACTGCGCCATTTAAAGGTCTCCGTCTAACCTTGAAATACAAATGCAAAACATCATCCTTGTCCGAGGTGTCAATGGGCTCATCGTTCATCTTCCCTCATCGTCTCCCGCACCTTCTCCCCCTCCCTCCCCTCCTCCCCCCTCCTCCCTCCCTCCCGCCCTCCCTGCTTGTCCATCTCCTCCCTCTGCGCCTTTTTACGCACAAAACAAGTCAGAGCGCACGCACGACCGGCGGGGAGAACGGCAGAGACAATAGACAACAGTTTTGGGTCATCATGGTATTTGGATTTGTACCCGTATATTAACACGCGCGCCGGACTGTGACATACAGGTGAACGATCAGTGAACGCGTCTGTCCATCCGCCGGCACAAAGTTTCTCCAGGTTTTTTTAATGTTGCCAACCGAGATTTCAGGAGGAGTGTGTTTCACCTCAAGGTAGGACTCCGTTACTCAGGAACAGGTTGTCGGCGAAGGCTCCTGGTTTCCAAAAAAAAGGTTGATGCTCGAATTGATGTGTGTATGGGTTTTTTTTCAGCAGCAACGTTGGTGGGGATCCAAAATCTTTTTTTAACGGCTTATTGGTTAAAATAGAAAATACAACGAACGCACAGTGACCTTGTTATCTGATAAATGATCGTTCCTTTGGTTTTGTAAACCAAACAAACAGAGAAGAACCGATCGTATTGGATTTGAGCCGATGCAGCCTCTGAGATTGTCGGATGCTTATCGTGGATAATGTTTCATTCATTTACAGCTGTTTAATCCGTCGTTTTATCCAGTTGTTGAACCGAGATTCTTAACAAGTGCACACTCTGCTGTTTTCTTTTCACGGGACGGGGGTGGTCCTGCTTTTTCAGCAGCTTTTCAAACTAAAAAAAATACAATCTTTACGGGACGCTTTGACATCCATTTTATTGACCGATTTATTGATCTCGCTGGTCCTCATATCATGTGGCAATTATCTTGCCTTTAATAAAAGCTCCACATAACATGCATAAAAGATCATTGCATTTTTTACATTTCAATTGACAAGTCTGTCAATCTCAACACGAAATTATCGATGCATTACACAAATAAGTCAGTAATGCATCAAAAATGCAATTAGGCAAAAGCATCACATCAGATTAGCTTTATTTACATAATTTCTTTTAGTTCATTATTTAATAGTCTCTGCCAATGGGAAAATAGCCCGATGCTCAATATCTTATTCTGTATTTTGTGGATTTTACAGGTGTCCACGCCTCCTAAAAGTCATGGTATAATGATAATTTAGAGTCGTATAATATATATGTATACATTAACAAATATCATAAGAAAAAATATCAACATAATTGAATAGGAATATATTATTTTGCAATAAATAAAGTCCACTAAAATATATAACGGCGTGAGATGGGGCCTCAGCAAACAATCTACATTAAAGTAGGCCTAAGGAAAGTAAAGACCTTTGATTTTCTCAGTGTCCACTTCCAAAAAATCCGTGGTCGTCTTTAAACACCTCTGCTGCAATACTCAATTTGATCACATTCATGATCCATGTACAAATTAGAATACACAACGACGACTAGGAATTACATTGCGGACCGTCGTTTGATAGAAAAAAATATGTTCAAAATTATCCATGGATTTATAAAAAGGAAATAATATTTAAATAGATATACGTAAGAACGTAGACAACTATTCTGTGGTACTTTCCCAATTTTATTTGCTTTTTAAAACATCTTATTTTGTATTTATTTTAGTTTAATAGGACTTGTGGATTTATATTTAAAGGCATACTTTCACATTTACATAATCAGATGACTACATTTGCTGCTTGGTAACATTATAGAAGACACACATTAAATTCCTGTATTTGTATATTTCTTTAAATCAGCAGGAATGTAAGCCCCGTTTTTAATTTTTTTCAAAATTGTGTGTGTGGCATGCAGCTTAATTTCGGATCTATATTGTGGTAGCTTGTTGCCTTAAAAAATCCTGCATGTATTGCTTTTATCATATAATATGTGTTTTGATTTTGATTTTCTGCAGCGATCACACTGAGGGAAGAAGAGAAGGGATGAAAACAGAGGAAAGCCCGCAGCCCTGTCAGCAGCAGCCTCCGTCCTCAACGCCCTTTGGTACGTTTTAAGACAATTGGATGCACGAGGCCCAAACGAAATACAATCGCAATTAAACATATTTTCAGGATAAACAAATATTATCGAGGTTAATTAAGGATCGTCAAAAACAAATGTTACGAGAACTACGAGGAAAATATTCTATCAAGCTCACTGAATATAAATCCCTATTGGATTATGTTGACAAAAATCCCTATTGATTACCTGAACATGGACAAACTTAATATTGACGACATATTATAGAGAAATAATAACAACATTTATAATGTGTTTTTATACGTCTCTCAATACACACATATACACACACAGTGTAATGAAGTTTGTATTTCATATGAACAATTTGCAACTCCATGAAAAATGCAAATAATAATAAAAAATAATAATAATAAATCCATTCAATAAAGACATGTAGGCTTAGTGATACGTTAAATGAAGGCTTTACGGACATATTAAAACTCATTATATATTCATATAAACTATATTATATGAGTAGCTTCGAAGTGGCTGTTTTTTCCCCCAACTTTTCATATAGTCAGCAGACTAGTCACATGACGGGTGGGGGAGATAATATCTAACCTAGCCAAATAATGCCAGTGTCTTTCTATCCAAAAACCACCGAGTGTGACGGCATGATTCTAACGCGTTTTACAGGCGGTCCCGGGGGGAAATGGGGGGGGGCTTGAAATCATAACCCCAGTCTTCTTAACAGTCAACCCTGCCTCTATCTCTCTATCCGCGCGCTGAAATGACCCCTCCAGGTCAGGAGTATAGGGGAGGAGGAGAAATGTGCGCGGCCTGCGAGTCTCCCATCGCCGACCGCTTCCTGCTGCGCGTGAACGAGCGCTCCTGGCACGAGACCTGCGTCAAGTGCGCCGTGTGTTTGAGCGCGCTCACCGGAACCTGTTACTGCAGGGACCGCCTGCTGTACTGCAAGCACGACTACGAAAAGTAAGACACACACACACACACACACACACACACACACACACACACACACACACACACACACACCTACCTGCACACACGCACGCACGCACATTGACGCTTAGGGTTCGTTAAACCAAATTAGGAAAAATGACAAAATCCATTATATGCAGTGGTACATTCTACCAGCTGAACAGTTGTTCCTCACCAAACAAGTAATTATGAAGGCGTGAAGCAAGTTAAAGGGTTTCTGCACCTGTAGAATGCCCTTTGTTATATGAACATTAACAACAAGTTAATACGTTTTATACTTGAGGTGGGAATTATGAAGTAGGCTTTGTGAGGGTTCTGCTGAGGATTGTTTAGTAAAACACAGTGTTTCATCAAAGTGAAAGTTCTGTAACAGATTGATGTCAATTATGTTGACAGACAGTGTGCAAAAAGGTTTAATCCTATTTTGTAATTCATAGAGAAACTTGTGATTCACAATTTCCCAACTACTAAAATGAGTAGAAATTCATATGTTTTGCAGGTCACTTTTTTGTCTTAGAACGGATGATCTAGATTAATGTGACAAATCACATATTTATGCCATTTTCTCATGCGCTATGTAGTAGTATAATGTGTGTGTGCGCTTTTTGTTTTTGTCGTTTGGCGTGTCAGTGGGTGTGTGCCTGCAGTGGGAGCTCCGGGGGTATAGACAGCTGAAGGACGAGCCATGAAGCTTGTTATCGTTGTTTTGAAAAGTGTCAGACGGCATCCAGCAGCACAGACTCTCCCACTGTACCTGACATCTGGAGGAGAGAAAGACAGAGAGAGTGATAGAGACAGAGAGGAATGGGAGAACCGGCTGATGAAAGTCCCATTGTGTGACGTTCATCTGGAAAAATGAATGTGAAACGTTGAGGAAATAGCTCATGAACGTTTTTAATTTTCAGTGATGGAATGAAAAAGCGTATTTGCTCGTCTGGCGTAATGACTGTAATTGTAGATCCAGATGAATAGTCTGGCATGCATTCGCCGTGCTGTTGATGTAGTCCCACATACATTGCATACGGATCGTTGTGTGAGTCTGTTGTGTGAGTCGGTGCCAGACTTGGCACACAGTACAGTCTGTGACCTTCAGCGGATCCGCAACAATGTCTCCTTGTTTTCCCTGCAGTCCGTCCATCAGCGCCTTACACTTCTAAACAGCACCCGCACCCCCCATCTAGAGCAGGTGTGTGCATTGTTACAGTTAATAAATGTCCAAGAATTCAGTGTGCATACAAAATAGGGTAATTTATGATTTGATGGTTATTTTAACCCTCTAGTTTTTTTGGTTTGTTTTCATTTTAGCACGATCTGGTTGAAAGAAGCAAAAGCAGGTCCACTGCGTGGTCAAATATACTCTTAAGGGTTGATTAAACATGCACATGCATGGTAACATGACATCTTGCAGGCGTTTCTTGCTCAGACTGGGCTATTTTCCATCTCACCCTTATATCTCTAGCTTGTCCAAATATTCTTTAATTTATCCTCTGCTTTGATTACATCACCCGCCCAGCACACAGGCAGAACTCTTCTCCCCGACTCTCCATCCACTTAGAACCCACACTGTGCATTTGCTCGCATTTGCTTCTTTTCAGAAGACCAGCTAGAAATGTGTTTGCAGGGAGATATTTTTGCATTCACGTGCATTTTTCGATTCAGGTGAGGTTGAACAAATAAATGTGTGTAAACGTTCAGCTATTCGGATGAGAAGAAAAATCTAATTTTGAAATGTGACCCATCCCCCACCTTGATTTCCTCTGGACTAAACTGCCTTCGAGGCAAAAGTTCATTCAACGTTTGCATGTTTAGTGTGTTCAAAGGACACTTTGCTCTACTTCATAATTATTCTGAATAAATTGACTCCAATGCTTAACATCATGGTTTCAACATAGCATTACACTTTTTGAGGATGATCCAAATATTGAAGCACATATAACTATAAAATAATAAAGGTTCAGCTGTGAGTTAAATTAAAGTTCAGTTCAGTTCTTGAAACCACTTGTGATGAATTAGTGCTAACTCTGCCGCTGCTATCCTCGTGATAAACCAGGAGGTATGCCTTCAATCTGTTATGGAAATGAGGGGATTAAGACTCAATAAACTCAAGTGCATCTTGTGGATTTTTCTAGTGCATTTGTTTTTGTTTTGAAACCTGAAGAACCATCCTGTCATGGACCAGATGTTGAGGCTTTTTGAATCATTTTGCGGCTAAATCATTGTTGAAAAGGAAAAAAAATATGATTATTATGAGTAGCATCTTTCTTCCTAAATGAGCCATAGCATTAGGCTTAATGTATATAATTCCATTGACTATATAGTATAATCATATCTACTTTGACCACAAAGTCAATGATGATTTCACTTGAAAATAAGACCATGAACGCCGATTAGACGTCTGATCGTCTCGGTGGTACCTTGCAAACACCTCGTCACAGTCGTTGTCTTTTAGACATCGGCTCGACATCATGCTTCCTTGCCAACTAGAGCAGTAGAAGGCCGGTGTTCCCTGGTCAATAGCGCTGCGCCCAGACAGAATGGAGGGTGTAAACTGGCCTGCAAGCTCCCTTGTAAGCCCCATAAAGGCCTCTTCGGGCCCCTGCGAAAAAACAGGTCACCAGGGTGGATATTCACAAACCCTTGGGTTTAATACCTCTCTCTGTGGGGAGGAGGGCACCGAGACGACATCTAGGTCTATGATCCCCGACTTTGCAGACAGACTGAGGGAGACCCCGCCGCCACAGTTATGGGATCTCCATATAGGCCGACCAAGAAGCTGCATGTTGAGTCTGCCGCTGACGGCCTGACAGAGTATCCTCTCAAGTTGCTGTGCATTTATTTGAGTCGTGGCTTCCAAACACAGACTTAAGGATAGAAAAAGCATCTTCTTGTCCCGCTCTCTCTCCTCCAAACCCCCATCCCCGCTCCGCTCCCTGTCTCTCTATCCGCTACCTCGTTCATCACTGTCTGCTTGGTAATAATATTTCTCTATTCCAAACCTCATTTCCTTCTCGTTGAGATTGATGGCAGCGATGACACCAAACAGTTTATCTCCCCGTTTATCCCTTGTTTTCTCTTAATCGCCTCCCCTCCCTCAGCGCCTCTTTGTGTCTCGGGAAAGGAACGGGAGGAGGGGCCGAGGAGGCTGATTGGGCGCGTTGCTAATTACCCGGCGTTCTGCGGCTGCCCTGCGATGACAGGCCTGACATGAGACTGCAGGGGAATACTGTTACAGAGAATTATGAAATGACAATTCAGCTACAACCTTAACTCTGGTTAAAGAGTCAATGCCTCGTTAGTGAGCTACTTTCAAAACATGAATTCCAAATATATGGAAAGTGTCTCATCGTAATAAAAGGTCAGTTCAACAAAGGGAAAACAATAAAAACATACATCCCTTATTGTAGTCATTTCCTATAATAACAATACATTTAGTGTAGCCATGTTGTAGGAGTAGAACCACTAAATTATTGGGTGTCCACAATTACAATTAAAAATGCCATTGCATGTTTAGGTTAAAGTTATGGGTTAAAAAACTGAACAAATGAACCTGAAACAATCTGCACTGCTAGAAACCATTTGAGGCAAGTGAGAAAATATTAGTTTTTGCTGCAGGGGAAAAGGAAGTTTGTGGTTGACTGGCTGACAGAACTCTACTGTATGTAGTATGAATCCCATTGAGAAGCTACACATGATACATGCATGCGATTCTGATGTGTTCAAACACCCTCTACTTACCCCCCCCCCCCCCCCCCCCCACTTACACCGGCCAAAGCCGCAGCTCAACAGTTGATGATGTGTGGAGTGCCAGAACAAGGAAAACAGTGAGGGGGAGTTTCATTTCGGGATGTTGTGTGCTATTGCAGAACAAGAAGATTTTATTGTAGAAATGAAAGAACATCGGGGAGAAATATTGATGGTGGAGAAGGATGGAGTGAAGAAGGTAAAGACAAGGCGTCGCAGATTTTTTAAGAAGAGATTCGGCATCAGATTTTCGCCTGGGTGCGTGTATGTGAGGTGGGGGTGATATTGCTACTGTTTTTTTGCATAATGTGAGATGAGACCCCATCATCTTTCCTCCCCCACAACAATTTCATAACAGACAGCTAATAAATGTTTCATGGCAGAACAAGCTGCTCGCCTTGGCTTTATTAAATCTGAGATAATAAAAGCAGAGAGGGAGAGAGACAGAGAATAGGGGGTCGCACCGGAGAGGGAGAGATAGGAAGATCGGCGCAGACTTTTCTCAAATCGAGCGGCTGTATCTCCTGTTTCTGGGGCAACGGGTCCCGCTGTCCCCCGCCAGCCCCTCCCCGCTGCTTCCCACTCCGCCAGAGACAGACAGGAAATGAGAAACGGGCAGACAGGATATTGCGTTCTGGTGGCCTGGGGATTAACTGTTTTATCTAAACTAACACACGTACACACACGCCCACTCACACACACACACACACAAACACACACACACACACACACACACACACACACACACACATCCACAGCCTCGCACATAGCGTTCATTCTTAGCATCAGGTGTAGCTCGCGCACACACCCAGAGGCACAGATCATGCAGACTTTGCACGTCATGCGGGTTTTCAGTTGTTACTTTACACAAGTACATTATATTAGGTCTTGCATATTACAGGCGTCAGTGCTGCTCTCGTGTAGAGCTCCTCTTATTACCAGTGTGAATGGTTTATAGTCAGAGTTATGACACGTGAACCGTATGACTGTGAGATCGGCTGAGAGTTTCTGCAGATTGGCTCTAAATGTGTAAATTTGTACTCTGCCGAACATCATGGTCGACTATTACATAGCTTTTACAAATTTTAAGGTGAGCAAGAAGTAGAAGTAGTTACTTTATTGATCGAAGGAGGGATGTGGTGCAGACATGACAGCATCTGTCAGTGTTTTATTGATGTTTTTACCAAGGGACCTTATCTGTGTTTACACAAACTGTTCATACTTGTGTTTATGTGCATGTGACCATATGTATACCAATGTGTGTGTGTATGTGTGAGACTGTACTGCATATAGATATATATTTATATACACGTGTGCATTTGTGTGAGTGAGCGTGAGTGAGTGGTGGCAGGGGTAGCGAGTATCGTGGGGAATGCTGGGAGATTTTAATAACACAGAAGCAGTGCAGGGAGATTTAATAAAAGGAGATGATGTGATTACTGAACCCTGGCTCTGAGCCATTTTGCTTCACAGAGCAATATCCGCCAAAAGTGCCCACACACACATCCACAGACACACATCCACACAAACACAAACACACACACACACACACACCCTTACACACATTGAAGAAATGGATACTAAACATAATACAACTTAAAAGTAAGATTGTTGCATATAATTTGTTCTTTTTGCATTCCTCGCATGAATCCTTGGGTGTACTTTCACTTTTAAGGGAATGCATAAGCAGCCATTTGCATGACACACTTGGTCATTCTGAGCATATTGTGTCACAATCACGAGCTGGTAAATGAATACCTTGTTTTTGGACCGATATGCTGCAAGTGAGTCATAATGGTAGATCTTTGGAGAAGCCTTAATATTCCCAGGTTCTTCTGGACTGGCTTGCTTACAACTGCTCCAAACCTGCGGTTAGTTTACACAGACCTGTACCTATATAAATATTCATCTATTATGACAGCAAGCTCAACAACTGTAATCGCTCTAAGACATATACATATTTATGGAATGATTGTGTTGTGGTCCTCACAATGTTGTGCTTGTCAGAGCTCACAGGCAAAACAATGCCACATGACACAGCTTAGGGAGAGGATGAGGATTCTGTTATTCTGTTTGCATGTCTAGGATCTACAATGAAGCAAGGAGGAAAGGCCTGATTATAACAACCCCATCTACTCACATCACCTTTTTCCGCCTCTACTTGATCTCATAATCTGTGAGATTGTAATTAGTTGTGCCTCCTAACCCCTTAAAAATGCATGGCGCCAGACATAAAGGTGCCCGCAGCCAAAGTTCTTGAGGTTTTGTACGTCACAAGCTCACAAGCAGAAAGACTTCTTTTTGCACTTATTCTTCTCCTCTTTTTAATTATGTACATATCATGAATATTACACACACCACTTCATTAAAGGAAATCCTGCTAAATCCAAAGCAAAGTCCTCTTCCAAATATCTTTTCTGATAGATTTGTTCACAGCTGGTCTTAACCACACCTCAGCTGTTTAAATTCGAATTTTAATTTCCACTTTTTTTGTGGCGGATATTGAAATTCAAGAAAAAAACTCACTGTAGTATCATTGTCATGCAAATATTATTTTTTCTATTCATTCTTATGCAAAATATGACTGCTATATTAATGATATTCACACTTTTTGTTTTTACTGTAGTTCCATAATATAATAAAACGGAGTTGTCTTAAACCATTTTTGGGGTAGTTTACACCTTGCGTGTATTCTCCTGTAATCACAAAATCGAATCAAAAACATGCATGTTTGTTTTTGCTAAAAGAAAAAAGAGATAACAGAGAATATGTCATTACACTTATACATTTATTTTAATAAAATCCTTGAAAAGAAGGTTTAATGAATGTGCAAAAACAACATTCGCACACACATGCGCATTGACATAACTCTGCTCAAAACAGCAAAAACGAGAGTTTGTATGAATGGAACCTAAATTTACTTATTTCATGAGGCTTTTGAATCGTCACGTGATGCGAGTGATTCATTGGAAGCTGCACCCTGGTCCGGGCCAGTGTGAATGATACTTCTATTAGAGGGATTAGACTGATCTACTTACAGACCCCCCTCTGTGGCAGTTGCCCCAAGTAGCCTTCATTTGCCATGTTGAGTAAATTCCTCCCGTGCTGTGTACACCCCGATTAGGGAGTGTGGGATTTAGCCACCAACATCATCAGTCTCATGTCAAGCAATCCTGTGACAATTCAGTTCAGTTGTGTTTTGTTCTCAGTGAAAGGAAGTGTTAAAGTGTCTGTTTGGATGGAGCATTGTGATCTGTACCACACAGCACGATGGCGATAGCCCTCTTTTGTAGAACATACTAGCTGTCAAATATTAAGGTTAATAAGGTCCCTGCAGGTATTTTGCAGTAGAAGCAATTTTTTTAGATGCAACTACTGAACTGCTTCTCACATTCTCTCTCTCTACCTCCTTTAGGTAGAGCTCAGCTGCAGTTAAACACATGGTCCTGTCACAAAAGAGCCATGCAGGGCTGTTTATGGGGACAGTTGTGTTTGTGTTATGATCTCAAACTAGCGACACTGTCATTTGGGGAATTTAGAGAGCGTTCGGCAGATGGATTGGGGAGAGATTAGCCGTAGCAGCTGCGTTTGGGACAGAATCACAGATTAGGAGCTCTAATGTGCAGACCTGGCTCCTTCTTTACGCTCCAGATCTGGGCAGCAACACCTTCCTATCACTCAGTCAGGGACCGTCAACACTTCTGCCTCTGTCTCTTCCTCCCCCCTGCTCACTCCCCTCTCATCCTCCCTTCACTCCAGGTTTGTGCGTTTTCTTTATCAGCGGAGCTTTTCCTTTCCTACACACGGGCTCTGACGACCTGTCAACTCTTGCTGTTACAGAGATATTCCTGTGATCAATCATATCTGTACTATTCCCTAATAGTGGGTTGCACCATCAGCGTGAACGTGGGTTAGTCCGACTATAGGTATACTGATACTCAGTGGGTGGTTGGGTGCAAATATCTCTGTGCGTGCCCGTGTGTGTGTGTGTGTGTGTGTTTGTGTTTGTGTGTGTGGGGGTGAGTGTCTATGTTTGTGTGTGCAAGTGTGTTTTAGTGTGCATAAGTGAGAGGAGAGAGATTAACCCCATGCTATCCCCAATCCCTGGTTATGAGTTTACAGCGTCTGTCTGGCCATCGCACTGTTTAAACAACAATCTAATTAATCCTGTCTTTATTAGTTTCAGTGAACTGGGGAGGCAGGCTGGGAGGGCGTGAGGGAGAACTGGGAATGCTGGCAGAAATAACTGGGGAGGAAGGGGGGAGGAAACTAAGTGCATGCGAGAGCGGGGATTTGAAGGGAATTTACCAGAGACTAAGGGCCTGTGAATGGGAAAGGGGATGTGAAAAGACGGTGTGTCAGGACAGAAATTGAAGGGTTATAACATCTCACAGGAGAAGAAACAGAGGGGAAAGGGGAGGAAAGTGGTCATGGAGAACGGCAATGGACCTGGGAGAAATGCCCACGCGTTAAACTTTATAGAGTTTAAATGAGGTGACGGTGGTGGTTGGATATGGACAGACTGGAGTTTACCTCATCAAACAGAATCTCACATTTAAGGATTTGAGGAGGAAAGACTCTCATGAGGCAGCTATTATCATAAGCTAACTACTGCCACCTGCTGTAACGGGGGAGAAAATAACATACAATGTAAATATGCCGACTACTGTAATTCCTCTCAGCAGATGTTCACCTTGTTGCTCTGTGAATTGGGTAATGCTCGTAGGACCTTTAATTAAGAGACAACGCTAATCTTCAATGTAATTGTGTTGGAGCTCCTTGACTGTGGCAGTATCTTTAATTACCACACCTTTATTTGCCCGCACACCTTAACTCCGATGAGCCATATTTCACAGTGTATTGTTCATAAAAGCCCACATGTCTTTCTGTGCACCTCCAGGCTGTTTGTAAGAAAGTGCAGCGCATGCCTGCAGGTGATTGGACGCTCAGAGCTGATAATGCGCGTGCTAGGCCAGGTGTACCATCTGGGCTGCTTTACCTGCTGTGAGTGTGAACGCCGGCTGCAAAGAGGTGATGAGTTTGTACTGAAAGAAGGCCAGCTGCTCTGCCGTATGGACTATGAGAAGGAGAGGGAAATGTTGGCTGCTATTAGTCCCACACCAACCGAATCAGGTATAGTAGATTACACGGTTCTACGTACATCTTTTCAGTATCTTTCTTTTACGTTCCTCTGTTATTGACTTAGTGACCACTGAGTCAATGGCGTACAACATGACATCATAAAAGGCCAAAGGGCTGTAAATATGCTAACAGTTAGATATGAAATGGCATTACCTCTGTTTTAAAATAGGGTTTGCTATGTCACCCTTCCTTTTCAGGTGATGTACAACTGTTAGCAGAAGCGATTTGTAATTTGTAAGCAAGATGTAAAACATATCCTGCGGGCTCAACCGACTGTTTTCTTGTTTGCTTACCTTGCTCAGTAAAAAGTGAGGATGAGGACGGTGGGGGAGGATCTGGTGGAGGGAAAGGCGGAGATGAAAGCAAGGAGCACAAGCGTTCAAAACGGCCGCGCACCATCTTGACCACACAACAGCGCCGCGCTTTCAAGGCCTCCTTTGAAGTGTCCGCTAAGCCTTGTCGCAAGGTGGGCGGACCTGCTTGGTTCATCAATAATAATGTGTGCCACAAAAATACTCCCCTGACTGACTATTACTTTTTCTTAGTTGGTCTGCATATCAATGAATCCCTGTGCTTGATTCTGTAAAGTATTAATAAAAAAAAATACAAGTAAAAATGTCTTCTGCAGGTGAGAGAGACACTGGCGGCTGAGACCGGGCTGACAGTGCGCGTTGTGCAGGTGTGGTTTCAAAACCAGAGAGCCAAGGTTAGACTTCATACTCGTTCTGAGGACGTGTTCCGTCTCGCTCATCATCACAAAGAGAACATTGATACAGTGTTTTTGCGCTTCAGATGAAGAAGATCGCTCGCAGACAGCAGCAGCAGCAGCAGCAGCAGCAGGAACAGGAGCAGCTGGGGGGGACCAGACGAGGACCAAGTCGAGGAGGGCGCCAGAGCAACGACGACAGCGAGGGTAAGAGCTTTAAAGGGCTAGCGCGCGATGGAGGAGGATAGAAGAGCAACATATGACGTTGTGTAACCAAAGGGACTCTCATCTCTACACAGATGGCTCTAGTACCCACGGCATGGATGGGATGCTGGGATATCCCTCTCTGCCACGGCAGCAGCTACTTGCTCTGGACCCCAACATCTACGGCGGAGAACCATTTCGACACGGGCTCACGCCGCCTCAGCTGAGCAACGAGCAGCTCCACTCTTATGGTGAGACAGCAGCTGTTGCAAATACAAAATGAACTCAGAATGCAAATGTTTCTTATTTATTTCATTCCTCACATGTCTGATGTGGGCGAGGGGCCATTAAGCCATCTTTGTTTCTATTGTGACATTGTGTGTTAGTCTTCTTACAAATCAGTTTAATGGAGTCTTATAGTAAAACAGTTGCACTGCCCAATATTTTATTTTCTTATCGTTCGCCTGGAGTATGTGCCATAGCGGGACAAAAATGTAATATTTGGACTAAAAGGTGTCGCATCATGTTGCATGAGCAATTAGGAGGATGTTTGAAAGAGTTGTTTTGATAGTATTTTCATACTTTCTGTGTTTTCTGGTGGTAATTAAATACCGTTCCACTTCAGTTGCGCACACTTTTTTTTTTTTACCACAGACTCGGAGACGGTGTTCCATGACCTGGACAGTGATGGAAGCCTCGGTCACCTTGGAGACTGCCTCTTGGCAACGGGGGACGGCAGTCTGCTGGCAGGGCGAGTGGGAAACCCCATTGACCGCCTCTACTCAATGCAGAACTCCTACTTCACCTCCTGACCCTTATAAACTCTCGCCCTTCCCACTCCTGTTTCACCTTTCACCTCCGAGATGCAGCTAATGGAGTCCGTCCATCAACATGCCCGTGGGACCGCTCTCCTTGATGCAGCCCTTCTGAGCTTTTATCATAGGCTAAAATCATCACAGAGCCATACATTGTCATAACAACACTTTGCAGCATATTAGTTATATATTCCAACTGTCTTCAACCGTTTTCTTGGTGAGAATCACATGCTGGAAATACAAACACTGTAAATGCCCAAAATATGTAAAAAGAACTTCAATTTCTTCTGTTGTATTCATGTAATGTAACACGTTTCATGGCACTTTCTGACAAAAAAAAGACACCTATCAAACATATTTATGTGTATATTATGGTTTTCATATGATAATTGGAAATTTAAGTGGAATTTATCAATGAAGGTACGTTCAACGACTCTCGGCAGGCCTTGTGAGCAGCCGAGAGTCAAAGTTAGTTTATTGCTTAACTATTTTTTTTAACACGACTGATGATTAGTGTGTGGGAGACTGCAGCGTATACAATACTGTATATGGATTGGAGTACAATTTTGCTCTCAGGTTAGTGTGTATGTGTATGAGACCTGAGCTCTAACTCAGGATATTGAGCTGGATAGAAGTACAATTTAACTTGCCCAGTGACTTTAAGAAGGCTGACTGCAAAGAGGAAGAAACTCTCCATGTAAAGTGGTAACTTCAAACTGCATTCTTAGTTTTTGATAATGCATGACAGGTTTAATATGAACCAAAAAAATAATAATCACATCTTTTTTTAACATTTAGACACTACAGGGTTATTTGCGTAGCCTTATGCGGAAACAGGGTTGTATAAGTGATTTGTTATTTTGCTTTACATTCTCTTTTAAAATGTAATCAGATAGAAACAGTGCCGTAAATGACAACCAATAGATCTATCATGCCTAAAAACACTGGGCACATGATAATGTGCTCTCAAATGTAAATGTGAGTATGACTGTGTTACAATTAACTGTTGTATTCAATTTCTGTAAAAACTTATTTCTCAAACATCTCAAATTAGATGTTGTTAGGTAGATATTTTGTACCTTTTTCTGTGATAATCAGCAAATATTTAAATTGTAGCATGATATTTATGTGTCACAAAGTAGGTCTAAAGAAATAGCCTCCAAACGGAAACTGGAAAGCAAGTGCAGAGAACCAGAATCAGACTCAATGTGGTGCAGAATAAAATAGGATTAGGATGATACTTGTTTAAATTAGGTGCCAGTGATCGGCTTCAGCTTGTCACATTCTTTCATGACATGTTGGACTCTGATCACTGACTCATGGTATTTTTACAGTGATATTTTTGTAAATGTAACTTATTTGTGCGGTATTAGGCGAATTCCTATCTTACCTTTTTAGTTCAGTGACTGCCAGGTGATGTGCTTTGAATGTAATATTGCCGTATCTTCAATACAATCTGCGGTTTCATATTTGAAGTGCGATGGCCTTATTTCCCTAAATATTATAAGTGATGATGCACTGATGACTTTCTCTGCTGGTCAAAACATCAGCTATTACACTTGAATAGAAATTAATTTGCTTCCCCTCCCTTTCAAGCTTTAATAATTGAACCAGAAAAGTTCTGTTCTGCTCAGTGGTCACAGGGCTCATAACTCAATACCCTCCCTCCGTATCTCTCAGTAGTCCCGCTGATTAGAAGTGGACAGCCTCCTACTTCACCTTCCTTCCCAGACTCCCTATTTCTCAGTCATTGAGTAGTCAGGAGAGTTTGTGTGGGAGCGGTACATTCCAGTTTAATATTTGACTCTGACTCAGAGGGCAATGGTGGGAGGGTCGGACATTACAGACAGAAAAAAAAAACCAGAGGATGACCACAGCGGATGAGTAATACAAGTCTGGTATCAATTTTAATGAGGTTAAAAAAAAATGTAATAAACAGACTTCCTGTATGAAGCTAATTATGCATGTTACCTTCACGTGATCATGTTTACATGAGAACAAGAAAAATGAGGCAATAATTGGATATTCTACACACCTCTGTATAACTCCTGTCTAACAGTTGCATTCTTATTTATCTTTGTTGAAGAAAGACAAAATAAGTTACATAGAGAAACCCATCTATCCTAACATTGAACTTACAGTAACTCGAGTGGGGCCAATATCAAACCAGCCTCTGCTACGATGGCTGAGGTACTGGATCTATGAGTGGAAAAAGAAAAGAAATTTATCAGTATGTAAAAATAATACCTCTCAAGGATTGTGAAATTTCAGTCTTGAGTTTAGAAATGAAAACCAATGTGTCTTTTTAGAATAACTAGTACAAAAATCTGAGTATTGATATTTCTTTTGTGTCGTTTCTTTACCAGTGTGTGTGTGTGTGTTAATTGTTTCTATGGCACCTTGAGTCGTGCATGTTGAGTTGCAGCTGAAGGACTCACCCACTCCGCTGAGGTCCACTGTCTCCGCACAGCCCAGGAAGCGAGCCACGTGGGATGAGCAGGAGGTAGGTTTGTCCGGGTTTTCCCTCAGGCAGCGTTCAAAATCTACAAACTCCCTGGAACAATCCTGTCTGATCTTCTGGATTACTGGGCTTAAAAATAAAAGAGTGGTTAGATATGAATACACTTTGAAAATGTAGAAATGTTGAGGTGAGTGGGAGGGAATGAACAAACACGGTGTCTTACTGCGATGATGTGCACTGTGCAACCTTCACCTTCAGCTCGTGACACTTCGTCTGCCATGTTGAGGGGTTCGAGGCCACACATGAACCATATGCCTCCATTTCTTTATGGCAATACTTTGCCGTAATATCCATAGCAGCCTGCCTGAAAAGGTGAAAACTGTATGTAAATCGGCCAGTGATTATAGACAAGTCCAACGAACGATCCACAGTCAACCTAACGCACTTAATCTGTCAGCAATAGTTTTGTGGAGGATGCATGATGAACAAAGTACAACACGTTCGTGCTTATTTCTGGATCTACCAAATTACAGTCTGCGACTAATTCCCTCGACTAGAGAACATAGTTAATGTAATGTCGATATCAACCATATTTAGGTGTCTTACATGTTGCTCTATCAGGTTGTCTCAAGCGAAGGCGCTGATGAATCAAGGTTATATTAAAGTACTCCTGCATGTGGAGCCATGATTGTGAGAAAACTGCAGGATACGCGCCTAGTACTACCGGATTGGACGGAAACAAAACCTGTGAAACAGTTCTTTAAATGCATTGGTTAACCTGCTTGTCAATGTCTCACTTTGGTTCCTCCCCTTAGGTGACGCTATTTTTATTAAAGGGGTAGGCCCTACCGATTCAATTAAAGCGTTAAATGTTGAAATGTTGCTAAATTAACCTATTTATTTACGTATTTGGTGGAATTCGACGTAAAAACACAATTAAGCTGTATGCAATGTCATGTTTGATTTGACTCGCTTAACCATGACGTGCCAAGTCAAACCTGCGTGACTTTGCGTGTTTACGTATGCGGAAGCAACGGTCACAGAACGAGCGACTTCAGTGAACGGGCTCTGGGAGCTCGACCGAGCGCCGCTCCGTGGGTTGAATCGTATTTTACCAGCTGCAGCACGACGGGGTGGTGGTGGTGGGCGACAGAGAGGAGGGGGGGAGCAGAGGTGTAAGTAAAGTACAATGAACGACGCCAGGAAAGAAGGGGGTTCGGATGCGGACGAGATCCAGGGGCAGGGTGAGCTCCGAACGGCCCCCTCTGAGAACCACAGGCGGCATGACAGCGGCACCGACGACGAGCTGGTGAGCTCCGTGACGCTGTACAGGCGCAGGCCCCGGATGCTGCACGGCACAGTCCTCCCGTTCTTGGCTGTTCTCTACCCGGGCTGGCTGTACGTGTGGTTAGGAGTGTATGGCGCCTCCGAGTACCCGGAGGCAGGCCTCCTGTCGCTGGCCGCAATCGGGATCGCGCACGTTCTCACCGGGCTTTCTGGTTATTGGTCGGTGCACGCGCACTGTTGGCTCACTTGTTCTAAGGTAAACAAACTTAAGTTTATAACCGTAACAACAGTGTTGATGTCTACCAGTGTTACAAAGGGGCCCACTGATTCACCAAACCACATGTATACAGAGAACAAAATGCAGGGGTCAGCATGAACCCAGAAGCAGGAATGGAATTAATGTCTTGCTCGAAGGCACTATAGTAGGGCAGCTGGATGGGCCTCTGAAGCCACCAACTGGTCAAACTTTGCCTACAAGACTGATTTGTCAATGTTTTTTTAACATGTGATGTTTTTGTAAAACACTTTTATAGATATTGAAGGGTTGATATATTTTCCCCGCCTAGGGTTCATAAGCCTGTATGATTCGTCTTGTTGTCCGAGAACAATACCTAATCGGTGCCAATGTGGAAGTGAGATTGGAAGTGAAATTGTGATCTTTAACTCACATTTCATGAGAAAACCTCATTAGCAGTAGTAGCTTTGTGACATCTTAAGAAAGATACCACAATATTCATATCAACAACGTAATCAGAAAGAATCTTTGCAGGCAAATGTAAAAGTTTAGGGTAATAATGGCATGCCACAAACTGAGTATCTGTCACTTGATTTACTACCTTTTATTAAATACGCAGGAACCAGACCCAAACAAGGCTACGTTGGCAAAAGTCATACCAACCGCTAACAATGGATCTGCTGAGCTTGTGGCCCTCCAGAGAGACCAGGTGAGTCCACATGCTTCCTCTTAATATGCTTCAAATTGTCCTAATTGAGAACATGTCCTAAATCTCCCATTAACGTAAGCCAGTTGATTTTCTACCCCGTCCAGTTATTTGTATAGTTTGCCGTAGGTGTACTTTTGTGATTGGACTCAAGATGCAGTCTTCAAAACGGTATGCTTTAATTACAATTGTATGTCCTTCTTTCTGACCAACAGGATGAGAATGGGGAGGGAATTTTATCTTTTGAGTTTCAAAAGATCCGCTACATTTTTGACCACAAGGAGAAGAAATGTTTCCTCCCGATAGCTTTCCCCATAAACAACCCTATGAGGAACTTTCAGTCCTGGCGTGGCTACCAGGAGGAGACCGAGCTCAGAGCAGCAGAAAAGCGATACGGCACCAATCGTGCTGAGATGATGGTGCCAGATTTCCTAGAGCTCTTCAAAGAGAGGGCCACCGCTCCCTTTTTTGTTTTCCAGGTAAGTGTGTGTGTTTTGTTTGTTTGTTTTTATTTAGTTGATTGGTGGCTTTAGATGTGAGGTTGTTGACCTTGTAATCATCATGTCTGCCTTGCACCAGGTGTTCTGTGTGGGGCTGTGGTGTCTGGACGAGTACTGGTACTACAGTGTTTTCACACTATTCATGCTGGTGGCGTTTGAGGCCTCCCTGGTCCAGCAGCAAATGAGGAATATGTCCGAGATCCGCCGAATGGGAAACAAGCCCTATATGATCCAGGTGGGCTGGATCAAGTTTAAAATGTAGTGCGAAAAAATGTTATAATTATAAACATCTTCTACGGTATATTTCCTATTTGTTAAAAGCATTTCTAATTTATTGGGTGTATTTATTGCTAGGTATATCGCAACAGGAAGTGGAGACCTATTTCGAGTGATGAGCTGGTCCCTGGTGACATCGTCTCTATAGGTAAATCTCCTATCAGGATTTTAACCCTCTGAGGCAAATTTGTCATTTGCAAATTTACAAAATAAGGCTATACAAATTGAGTCAAATAGAATTTGTATGATTTCTCATCATGTCCATCAGATGGATACAATTATTGTGTGTTAATAATGTGTATTCTGGACATCCCAGGACGTTCGCCCCAGGACAACTTGGTCCCCTGTGATGTGCTGCTGCTCAGGGGTCGTTGCATTGTGGATGAGGCCATGCTGACTGGAGAGTCGGTGCCCCAGATGAAGGTTAGAGGCATCATAACACTCTACGGGGCTCAAGGCCGAGGAATGCACGTTTGACCATTCTAAAGGGCATTATTGCCCTTTAGAATAGTTATGAGAATATATTATTGTGAGGTGTCAAAAATACCGCTGACAATATGGAGTGTGCAGGAGCCAGTGGAGGACTTGGACCCAGATCGAATATTGGACGTTCAGATAGACTCTCGACTTCACGTCATCTCTGGGGGCACTAAAGTGGTCCAACATAGCCCCCCTTTGAAGGCCAGTGCCGGACTCAAACGTAAGCAGTAATCCCTTTATTTGTTTCTGTAGTACAACACATACTGTTAGTGTAATTAGTGAATTGAATAGTGCATCTATTGTCAATATGCAACCCCATTTAATCCCCTTCTTTATGTGCAGCTGTAGATAATGGCTGTGTGGCCTACGTACTGAGAACAGGATTCTACACCTCCCAGGTGAGACTGTTGCTGAGTCTGTCTTTGTTACTTCTCTCCTTTTTTATATTAAGTATTTTAATTAAGTATACATTTTAATTCTAACAGAATGTTGAGTCAACTGTGAAAGTGTACTGATTATGTGTGTGCCAACTTGCCTCCAGGGTAAACTGTTACGAACCATCCTCTTTGGTGTGAAGAGAGTGACTGCGAACAACCTGGAGACTTTCATCTTCATCCTCTTCCTCCTCGTGTTTGCCATTGCTGCAGCTCTTTATGTGTGGTTAGAAGGTGAGATGCACTTGATCAAGATGATAATTAAGATGTAACTATTATTTATCATAGTCAAAGTGAAATCTAAGAGCTGGAGGTGAGGACAGCAGTACAGTTTCTTAATACCACATCTGTGCTTTGTGTTACTCCCTCAGGGACCAAGGATGCCAGCAGAAACCGCTACAAACTGTTCCTGGAGTGCACGTTAATCCTCACTTCGGTCGTTCCACCAGAACTCCCCATAGAGCTTTCTCTGGCAGTTAACACGTCGCTTATCGCCCTTGCTAAACTGTGTATGTCTTTGTGTGCTCCCTTTTTTTGAAGACGCATGGACAAAACATCTTACAATACAAAGCTTGAAATAGCCGTGTTTTCATTTGAATCTTCTTTTCATCCCCCGCTTAGATGTATTCTGCACGGAGCCCTTTAGAATACCATTTGCAGGGAAGGTGGAAATCTGCTGTTTTGACAAAACCGGAACACTGACCAGTGACAGCCTGGTCGTACGAGGAGTAGCTGGACTCAGGTAAGCCCTGCTCACAATTCTTAATGTTCTAATTCACATCATAAAAACATACTACGATATGGTCAAAGTGGTAAATATTTGCATACATTAGCGCTGTTTGGAGTGGAGGTTACCAGCTGGTGTTTGCATTTATGACAGAGAAGGAAAGGAGGTGATGCCTGTGTCAGAGATCCCAGTTGAGACGCATCGAGTGGTGGCCACCTGTCACTCATTGGTCACTCTGGATGATGGACAGCTAGTCGGAGATCCACTGGAGAAGGCCATGCTGACTGCAGCAGACTGGACCCTCACTAAGGGTAAAGGGAAATTACTTCCACTGAAGGCACGGCGTATTACAGTGGCGGCTGTGAGAGAACGTGTTCATGCTCGTGTTTGTGTTATGCTACTTCGATGCCAAAATGTCCTTTTGTTTTTGACTTTTTAGCAAAACCGTTAAGGTCGCATTAAACCTGTTGCGTTCAGCCCGGTAATTTGACCGGCTGATCTACAAGTAATGCTGTTCATCAAGTGCATTGCACTTTAATGTAGATTGTGTTATTGTAGCTTTGCTCTGAATAGCACAATACCTTCGTTTGTGTGTCTCATTGACTCTTTAACCCTTTGACCAGATGAGAAGGGGTTCTCACGAGGCATCAAAACCCAGGGACTTAAGATCCACCAGCGTTTCCACTTTGCTAGCGCTCTGAAGAGGATGTCAGTGTTGGCCTCCTGTGAGAAACTCGGCTCCACTGAACTCTGCTACATCTCGGCTGTCAAGGGAGCTCCAGAGACACTCAGAGGAATGGTACATATCCTTAGTACACACGTGCGTTAGTCCAGCCTAATATATTTTTTCATAACAGTGCCCTGATGTACCTGTGATCATAGTTTTCAGAACGTCCGGCAAATTATGACGAAGTTCACAAGGAAATGTCTCGGGAAGGAGCCAGAGTGCTGGCCTTGGGTTACAAAGAGATTGGACACCTCAGTCATCAGCAGGTTCTTATTTAATTTTACTCATAAATATCATACTTTGTCTGAGTGGTCTGGTCCGATGGGAATAGATTTCATTACAAACTGAGATGGATCTTTTTGTTGTCTCAA